TATTCCACAGGAATAAATAAAACAACATAGGTAAATAAAACAAACTATTTTATTAATAATAACACCTACCAAATTTTATACCTTAAAGGTTGATTAATTAACTTTAATCTTAATTTTTTTAAACCAGTGCCTTTTGACATTATTTTTCTGCAGTACTAAAATCCATTATTTACCTATCGTGTGATGTCGATATTTTACAGCTACTCCAGTTTTTAGTATGTGTTTAGTTTGATCCTTCTACCATATACGAGATGCACTTATCTACGACGAAATGGTATACAAACTTTATCGATGGCAACTTCATTGGTGTATAAGACTTTCTGCCTGGGCAGCGAGTATTAACCATAAACTGTGCTCTGGGTCTACAGTTAATTTTCACTCGATTTTTCCTCCACTTGACTTCCAAAGACACAAAACACACGTAATAATACGAAACAAAATGCATCATCTTCCAAAACGCAGGGCAGTGCCTTCTATTAAAAGATCAGCCTCCGGGCGAGATTTATGACGTCACGCTAGTTAGATATAACGGATTAATAAATATGTTGTAGAATACATGGAAAACATAATTATTCCTCAGATTTTTGGTTTGTATTTTAAAAATGATATAGTTTAAATGAAATATACATAATATACAGTTAATAACTACAACATATATACCTATTTATAGTAATAAATACTTTGGCAAATAAACTATGAACCATACAAATGCAGCAAATGTTTTACAATGTAAAAATAATGTATAGGTACATAAGATAATGGGTAAAATGTAAATATATTTTAAATTTTGGGGTTTGAAAATCGATCTAATTTAACAAAAAACATTTAATATCTACTAATAGTGATGTATTATTATTTGCATTCACAAAATTTATATGTATATTTTGCAAGTATCAATGTTCGAAAAATTATATTTACAAATAATACAATATTATCTAAAAAAAGGCGTCAGCGATGGCTATGAAATAAAGATCGCTGGCATTTTATATGTTAAATTATTCTAAAATTTTTGATTTTCTTGGGATTTTAGGTTCGGGGAAAACGCTGATTAAGTTTTCATTTGGGTTTTCATTATTTTTATTTGGTTTAAAAAAAACGTTTCGGCTAACTATAAAAATCCAAAAAATTATAATAATTCACACCTCATAATGTTTACTGCAATTAATAAACTAATATAAACTTATCAAAAGATGACCACATATTTTTTAAAATTATTATTCTTAGCACTAAAATTATCTACATTGACTATGGGTACGCAGTAAACATTATGTGCGTGGTGTGAATATTTTATATGCAATTTTTTGGATTATATTCGACACTATTTTTTCATATGACACAACACTGATGGAGGCTATAATGTTAGCCAAACCTTTTTTAAACCAAATAAAAATAATGAAAAACCAAATGAAAAATCAATCAGCGTTTTTCCGAACCTAAATTCCAAGAAAATCAAAAAATTTAGAATATTTAGAATCAAGGTTCAAGAATATCAAATTTTCCAAGATTGTAAAATTCTAGTTAATTATTTTATGTGTACAGTTATTTAGGGAATGTCATCGATGTTCATTTCCAAGCCAACTAGACGCCGATTTTTTTCGATGATACGGTATAATTCTTACGTAAAATGTAAATAACATTAGACCAATTAAAACAAAGAAATATGAGTTTCTTAGTATTTTTAGTAACACCTTTATTCTTAAAACTTAATTTTGTATTATGCAAATATACCAATTTTATTGTTATTTTATTCATATTGTATTCAGCCATCACTTAAATATTTAATATTAATTTGGTATTATAAATAATCAATACTATTCATTAAAAATTACTGAACAAATATATGTTATGCTTAACATACATTATATATTATCAAACAAAAACACATTCTTCTTTTAAACTGTATCAGTCTTGTCTTTACAAAAATCTTTTTTAAAATTTGAACCCAAAATAATAATCTTTTTCATGATCTCTAATACACATATTCTTTATTTTTCCCTAGATCATAATACCTACTTACGTGTTTGAATCTATCGAAGCTGAACCAGCAACACTTGGAGTGGAGATTCCACAATATGAATAAAATAAACATAATTGTCCAGTTTTCATTAATACCATCATGGGAGAATATTATTTTTAAATTTATTAAAGATATTTTCAATAAAATTCTCTTGATTTATAACTCGTACCCACTTTTCTTGCTCTTCCGGACACTTTAGGCTGCCTAGTATAATAACTATCCTTAGTAACTATCCTTTCCACCAGGAACACAACAAAGATGAGGCATAGCACCAAAAACACACTCCACTTAAGCTTTATTGGTGAATTGTTAGAGTCTTAAAAACACACACAAAAATCACGATAAGTAAAAAATGTATGGGCACTTTTAGGTTAAATCACTTACACAACGTGTAATTTTTAAAATTTCTATTTTTTATGCGAAACCGAGAGTGACCATATATCTGGTAGTAGTTTATGTCACTTCAACACCAAAATAATTAGTTTTTTGCACTACAATAATAAATAATACCAAAAATCAAAGAGTTAAAACCAAAAATCAACCGACAAAATATGAAACGGAATCTAACCCAATATCTAAGTATGTACAGCTGATGAAGTAAACAAAAGTCCGCCCGTAGGCTGATCTTTTAATAGAAGGCACTGCGCAGGGTATTTAACAAAAGTTGACACAAAATTATAACCTATAATTTGGCAAGACTTTGACAAGCGTCAAAAATGACAAAAATCTAAAGGCGAGTTCATACGCATCGGCGTCCGTTTGTATAGTTGTATTCATTTAAAACTTCCCAATATGGCGGACTTCAGTATGGGAGGCTTAAAAAACGAAAATCTCTAGACTGGAATCGACTGCAGTTCAAATCGTTCAAATTGATAATCTGTGATCTGTGGTAAATCCAATTGAACTCTGACACTTGGCTGACATTGACGTTTACGGTTCCCTTTTCTAAATATTTTCATTATTTTTTTGAGTTTTTATTCACAAATTCTACTTTCTACTTGATCTTGTTCTTTTATTTAACCTGGAGCCTGCAGTACTAATTATATAGTTATAAATAATCTTTTCACCGATCAAGAACTGAGGAATAGGCTGGAAGATATTCAAAATGTGTAAAACGCTTAAAAATGTATTAGAAAACATTGACTCGTCCACAAATTCGTGAAAATAAATTAGTCCAGATGTTTGTAAAAAGGTCTCTAATTATTTTGAGAAGTTTCCTCGTATCAGTAATTTTCAGGTTTGTAATATGTATATGATAATAAATAGATTAAAACTTATATTTCAGGAAACAGCGCGGGCATTACAGATTGTTGTAAATCAGTTTTAAAATATAAAGAAGGTTTAAAACAGGTTTAAAAGTTGAGTTAGTAGAGAAGACCTAAATAAGGTAATGTTGGTAATGAGGGACCAAAGATCAAATAACACTTGAAATATTAATTGTAAGTAGTTTTTATGAATCTGTTTGATATCTATTGCATTGTTTTTATATTTCTTGAAATATATATTTTTTTACTTTACAGGATACACAAAGAATAATAAAAAATACAGTTACTCACTAAAACCACTTAAGGTTTGTAATAGATGTAGTTAGAATATCAAACACCAAGCCAAACCAAAAATTATGTTTTATTTTACTGGTATTCCTCACATTTGAACGGAAAGTCATTTCATAAATAAGCAGAAGGACATTGTATAGTACACTCTATATTAATAATTAATATATAAAAATTCTTTTTTATCCTATACTTGTTAGTTGACGCATCACTTACTAGGTATAAAATTTAGTACTGATTCCAAACCTATAGTTGTGGTTGTGACATATTCTGATGTGTTTCTGGCATTTTAAAATAAGTTAATATTTAAACAAACATTTATGGCTTTTCTGACAGAAGTGTGAACACAAATTTAATAAAGGTATAATGTGGATAATGTTCTGATTATTAAAGTTTGCATGGATGTTTTTGTATGTTTTTATTTTTAATAAAGTATATTTAATGAGTTTTTGAGTATTTCTTTTTCCCTCAGAGGATTGTGTTCTAATCTTTATATATAAATTTTCATAAATTATATTTACAAAATTTATTACCTTATAACTTTTTGATAAAGACTTTGTAGTTGATACAGTTTAACAGTATATATTATTATTATTATAAAAAAACTATTTAAATAAGATGTTTGAAAATATATAGCTGTTTTTGCACACATTAATTCAATTTGTGATTAACAGTACTGAAATAAAAACAAATTAAGAGAAATGGGGTGATCTATCAACTATAACATGAAAAGCATCATCCTATTTCTAAGTCTTCTATTAATTTCACTTATTAAACAAATATAATTATTCAATAATCTTGATAATTCTAGGAACTCACAGATATCGTCAAAACATGAAAACAAAAATTCACTTCCTATAGTTTTTACGTCCCTTTAACTGAAATATAAGTAACAGGGGAGTTAATATTCTCACTGAGAAAGTTTATAAAATACTTTTAAGTAAAATCTCTTCGGATCTGCGGTAAAATACCTTTATTCTTATTAAATAATTTCAATAATCTATGTTTTTATTTATGACAACCACCTAATAACCTAATTTTAACGTCAACTTGACAATCCTCAAAAATGTTATTGTTAACCAAAGAGTTAATCAATTTCTGAATTCGCTAACGCCAACTTATTTTTCATTAAAAAAAAACTACCAATTTTCGTAACTAGGTCGGCCATATTGAGGAACTTTTAAAAAAATTGTACTATAGTTCATCGTTCCGTCAAACCAATAAAATTGAAATACGATCTGTCATTTTTTAAATAAACCAATGAAACTGGTTAAAAACAACAAGACACGACGCATGACGGATTTATATTTAAACCCATCCATAGATAAATTAAAAATTACTAGAAACTTTTTTTAGTAAAATAAATAGATTGGTATGGGACGTCATCTGCTTTTCTTCTGTCATCGTCTGTCGAAATCTTACCTGAGAAAAAAAACAGAGTATATTACTTTTTTTTGTAAAAAGTAATACGTATATGTCAGTCTGTCGTGTCGTCGTGTCAGTTTTTTGTTTTTGCTTTCCTATGGTGCGGACTTGCGGACTAACATAGGAGCAGAAGCAGAAATAGCAAATAGCTGAAATTCGAGATTTTGATTTTAGCAGTTCTGAATTTTCAATTCTTCGAAGTTAAATTTCCATATTTTCCTTCAGAAATAATAGTGATACCAGTAGTAATATACGTGATCTATTGAATAGTGGTACAGAAAGGTTCTCTGTTGTTTATTTAGGACGATATTTTAAAGCTGAAATGGAGTTTCAAGACGTGTATAAGAAACAGAAAACTTGCCTTCAAGTAGCTACTAACGTTACGGAACAACATCGTCACGTGTCTCGAGCTAAAAGGGGCCAAGTTTTAGGACACCTAAGAGGCTTTAGAGGATGTACAGTATGGTTTACTGGTCTGTCTGGTGCAGGAAAAACTTCGGTGTCGTTTGAGCTGGAAGCTTACTTAATTCAGCACGGTATTCCTGCATACAGTTTAGATGGAGACAATATGAGAACAGGCCTGTGCAAAGATTTAGGCTTTTCAAAAAAAGACCGGGAAGAGAACATACGACGTGTCGCTGAAGTAGCAAGATTGTTTGCGGATGCAGGTCAGATTTGTTTGTGTAGTTTTGTCTCGCCGTTTGCTGAAGATCGAGAAGTAGCAAGAAGAATTCATAAAGATAGTGACCTACCATTTTTCGAGGTTTTTGTTGATACACCTATTGAAGTATGTGAACAGCGAGATACAAAAGGTTTATACCATAAAGCACGATTGGGCCTCATAAAAGGATTTACTGGTATTGACCAGTTGTATGAAACTCCTGAGAATCCTGAGTTAGTTGTAAAGACAGTAAATTCAACTGTTAAAGAATCTACAATGGAAGTTGTAGATCTTTTGAGAGAATATGGAATACTACCTGTGCTACAGGAGTATGATAATAGTGTCCCCGAATTATTTGTTCCTGAGCATCGATTAGTCTTTGCTGAAGAAGAGGCAGTAAGCCTTCCAAAATTAAATATTGATATACTTGATCTGCAATGGTTACAGGTAGAATTTTGTTTTAATTCCTTTTACAGATATTACAACACAATTTATAGGTTTTGAGTGAAGGATGGGCCTATCCACTGAAAGGTTTTATGAGGGAAGATCAGCTTCTTCAAACACTACATTTTGATTGTCTGCTTAACGATGGGAATCCAATTAATCAAAGTGTGCCTATTGTATTACCTATCTCTACCGTAGATAAAAACAGGTACCTAGTGCGTAACGATCATGTAAAATACAGTTAATAAATTATCCTAAAAATTTTAGACTTCAAGACACATCTGCAATTACCCTATGTCACAATCAGATTTCTTACGCTATTTTGAGAAAGCCTGAATTTTATTACCATAGAAAGGAAGAGAGAATTGCAAGGCAGTTTGGTAAGTTTTTTTTAACAAATAGATAATACTCAATATTCTCTGAAGGCAAATAAATTAGACTATCCTTAATGTTCATTTAATGAACTTTAAAAGATAACTAAAATTAAACTAACGGACCTAGTATGTTCAATGTTCACACACTAAACCTGAAATTTCATAAAAAAAACTTGTGTTTAAACCTTTCCTCTCCAATTTGTAATTTTAGATGTAGTTTTATAATAAAAATAATAGATATTTTACAATATTTTTCTTTAAGTTTAATTGTATTCGCGCTTTCTTTTATTAATAAAAAGGGCAAATACATTTTCCATATATGTTTTCCAATACAAATTTTAAGTTATACAACAATGATGATATTTGTATTTTCTATAAACTAATATTTGATTTAGAAACATACCTACCACATATTTTTTTGTTAATTCTTATTGAATATATAAATATTGAATTATTTTGATAGAATTGGGTAAAAAACATTAACACTTCACAACAAATAGTCTAAGGATTAGGAATTATTTGTAATATGTAGTTACATACTTTAAAATATTTAATCAAATCATCATTATAAAGCCCAGTTCATGCACTTGCGAAATGCGATTTACGAATTGCGAAATGCGTTCTTTTTGCCTTGCAATTGGTCGCTTTCAAGGTCTTCCTTGAAGGTAGCCAATCAGAACGCAAACAGGACGCAATTCGTAAATCGCAATTCGCAAGTGCACGAACTAGGCTTTATGCAGGATTTTTTTTTGAGGGCACGTTTCTTTTTATTAAAAATTTATAGAAAAAAGAGATTGAAACTGTTTGATTTATTTATTCACATTTCGCAACAGAATCATTAAATTAGGTGAAAGTTGTTCTTATTATGTGCACTTTCAGTTTTTGTTTAAATATCTATAATGGGTTTACCAAAGTAAAAGTATTTTCTCTAAATTGTGCAAATTATTAAACTACATATCAAAACTTTTTTTAGGCACGACAAATAAAGATCATCCGTACATAAAAATGATTATCGAATCTGGAGACTGGTTGGTGGGAGGTGACCTAGAAGTTCTTAAGAGGGTTCAATGGGGTGATGGTTTAGATGAATACAGGTTGCATAATGCGAAACATAATATATGATTATATTATAAAAGTTATTTTGTTTTTAGGTTTACTCCAAATGAATTGCGAAAAAAATTCAAAGACTTGGAAGCAGATGTTGTATTTGCGTTCCAGCTTAGAAACCCCATCCATAATGGGCATGCTTTACTTATGACTGACACTAAGAGGCAATTGCAGGAGAGGGGATATAAAAAACCTGTTTTGTTATTGCATCCTTTAGGTACCGTATTTATTACTAGCATTCTTATTAAGTTGCATAGGGCTCGAACACACTGACGACCAGGTCGCACCGGCCAGGCCGCAGCTACCTCTAAAACCATTAAATCAAATGATATAGCGCACACTAACGTCCTGGCCGTCCGTTGGTCGTTGCGACCAAAAGACTGCACAGAAATATTATTATTTTCTACCGCTTGTTGCCGGTTTTCTTCCAAATTAATAATTTTTCAGATGAAATGCCTCAAATTCAAGGCACAATATTTTATTTTCTATAAGATATAGTGTTTTAGTGTAGTTTTTGCACACGTGCAGAAAATGCAGACAGGATCAAAGGTAAACTTAAATCTAATCCTTTTTTTTTTATCAAGGGTCGATTCTAGTAAACACTCAAAACATTTTTATATGACATACCTACTCTATTTATGGTTGGTATGATACCTGTTATTATACCTTTGAGTTTCGATGTTAAAAAATAAAAAAAAATAATATTTAAAGTTTTTCTACAACCACTTGTTTTTTTTATTAAATTAGTTTTTTACTTGTATTGTAATCATGTTCAAGGAGGACAACTGTATTTTAAATATTATATTTAATTTAACGTTTTTCAAACAGGGTTCATTAGACTATATTTCTACTAGGTACATTATTTTGAAAAAAAAATTAAGAAAGTAACTTAAACATTCTTAAAAATAGAAGTAATTACTGTTGTAGATTCTTCGTTATATTGTAAACATTGAAATAACTGGAAGCTAAACTTTCTACCTGCTTATACTTAGAGCCAGTGTCTGACGATCTTTTGTTACGATGGCCCTAATATGTTTACTTCTAAAGTCGATAAGGCCGCCATATCAGTAGAAAAAAGAAACAGAATATCTCCCTTTTTGTCGGTCGCGCGTACACAATGCTTTTTGTTTGTTGTGAATAGCAACTTCGCTTTTTAGTTAACTCGGATATTTTAACCTTTCTGAAGCAATATTTTCTAATTGGTAAAACGTAAAAAATCGTTAGATTTGACAACTCTGTTGAAACTGGTCGTTCATCTGGCCGCAGCTAAAAACGCAATACATCCGGCCAACCGACGGCCAGGTCGTTGTGACCTGGTCGTCAGTGAGTTCGAGTCCATAGTCCTCTCCACTTTTAAGACTGTTTGTTAGTGACACAGTGACACTGACAACAGTTAGTCAAAATGGTATTTGATTTTGCGCTGTTGGTAAAAAACGTTGGTGAATTGGAATTAAAAAAATGATATAAGTAGAATGGTTGTATGTTTACAGGAGGTTGGATAAAAGATGATGATGTTCCATTGCCAGTAAGAATTCGGCAACATCAAGCAGTACTGGAAGACGGGCTTTTGGATAAAAATTCAACTGTTTTAGCAATATTTCCTAGCCCCATGATGTACGCTGGTCCAACGGAAGTCCAGTGGCATGCTAAAGCGCGAATGAATGCAGGTATGTTAATTATTCAATGCACATTTTTATATTATGCGTATATGGCATCCTCAAAGTCTATCCAAATTACTACCACATTTTTTAATTTAAATTACTATAAACCAAACAAGTAGAAGTAGAATGTGTGGAGGGGGGAGGGGTGTTAATCACTGCGACCTTAAAATTAAAAGTCTATTGTGTCCTTCATCAAACCAAAACTTCCGATTCATAGAAGATGACAATGGTTACTTTTACAGTTTACAATTTTAGGTATCTTATATACACTCACCGGCAAAAAAACCGGCCACTAAAAACTAGTCCCAATTTCAAAGTTGGATTTCTCGCGAACCACTCATTAGATTTTGATGATTTTTTTTTAAATTGTAAATTAATTCCTTCTTAACGGATGCTACGTCAGCAATTTTTATTCCAAATTTATTTTGAGCATATACAGGGCACAACAATAAGACGAAGTTTTTTTTTCCAAACTTTGTAACACCCTGTAGGGTGCAGCAGCTGTAGTAGCTATTGCTAAATCAAATCACATTGAAGCGTCATCTTTTGTGAGCATTTTATTTTTTTAATCACGACATTATCTCTGTTTGTATTGGAGATACTGCTTAAAACAAACGCCTCGAAAAAAGCTTTAAAATAAAATCAAACATCAGAACGTAGACGTAAACTAACTAAAACATGAAAATTAAAAAAAAGGTAAAGAAATTTAAAGGGACTAATATCTAGTATCCACTCTGGTGAAATTTCCCGTTTCCATATACCGATTCCAGGCATCCTGAACTGTTGTTCGAAATATACCCAGGGTATCGGAGACATAACGTTGACTTCGGCCATCCTCAATTAAAGCCACAATACGAGCAACATTTGTTACAGATAATGGCATTTTTTAATTTGACAACCGTTTTTCTCATATTCGAAATACTCATAAATCCGTTTTCGCCTATGTCGCCTTGATTATTTGCACATCAAACTTTGTGCCTTTTCCGAGATGAATTCTGAATTTTTCCGAGACGTTCGTTTTAAAACAGCATATCTCCAATACAAAAAGAGATAATGTGGTGATTAAAAAAACAAAATGCTCACAAAAGATGAGGTTACAATGTGATTTAATTTAGCAACAGCTACTACCGCTGCTGCACCCTACAGGGTGTTACAAAGTTCGGGCGAAAAACTTCGTCTTATTGTTGTGCCCTGTATATGCTCAAAATAAATTCGGAATAAACATTTCTGACGTAGCATCCGTTAAAAAGGAATTAATTTACAATTTAAAAGAAAAATCATCAAAATCTAATGAGTGGTTCGCGAGAAATCCAACTTTGAAATTGGGTCTAGTTTTTAGTGGCCGTTTTTTTTTGCCGGTGAGTTTATATTTAGCACAAATGATTGATTTATTTGAGTTTGCAATGAACAATATTATTTGAGAGCGAAATTTATATTAAATCGCCGTCTGTGATTTAACAGTCTTCATGACGTCACAGGGAGGTAGAGACGTCTTCTTTACCCAGAGAGCTCTCCTATATCAAACCTATATACATATTAGAATATACCATTAATACAGCATTTACTCAATGGGTGGAAAGTGAAGCCAAAGAAATGAAACAGGAATACCAATCTTGCATAAGTCTATGCTTTTGGTTCAAGAAAATTTTATGTGCACGTCCCAAATAAAACGATCTGATTCGTCATCATCGCTGAAGGCTGTCACCTGACTGGGCTAACAAATTCATTCCATATAGCCAACAATCGAAAATAAACACAACGTAGTCATTTTATTTAGTAGGCTTTTGTAAAAATCTTTTTAAAGACGCTATTTATATTCAGGATGAGTTTTCTACGATGTTCTCTATGGGCATCTGGGAAACTACTGGAGATAGAGAGTCGGTTAAATGGGAAAAGAATTGCAGTTTTGTGGGGTCATAAATATGCGCCTTTCAGATTTTTGAAAAAGTTCATGGCTTACTAGATATTTCGAAAAAAACAAATTTTGGCTATTTTAAAAATTGTCCCTAATTCCATTATAATCTATTTTAGACAAAAAGTGTTCAGATAAAAGTTGTAGATAATCACATTCCTAATGAGTTTGTATTCTCCGATTTTTTCTAAAGCCTGTCATTTTTGACTTATGACACAAACATATGTTTTTTTTTAATGGTAACCATAGTTGGCCATGACTTATAAAAAGCGCCATTTTTTAAGCTTTGCAGCGATATAAGCTATAATATGTTTCTTTCACAAAATTACTGAATTATAGCCAATTTGTGTTGATTACTGAATTATAGCCAATTTTACGTTTCTTTCACAAAATTACTGAGTTATAGCCAATTCTTATCTTTCTTGACTAATTTCACTTAGTTAGCCATGGCTAGATGTTCAATCGTCGTTGCTCTCAGAAATGTGAAATTGTCACATCCAATCTTTGTAAATTAAAATAAACAAAAATTGTAAATAAAAATTTTTCAAATGAAGAAAAGCGTGTAGGATTATTGGTGCAACTTTTCTTTGCCATACAGTTTCGAGGATACGTTGACCGGTGAAAGTTATTTACGTTTTTTTAGAGAACGGTTTTCAATGGTGTTCTAAATTTGTTATGATTTATTACTTATAAAAAGACAAAGTATATTATTAAACGGCTCTTTACAATTTGCATTACACAAACTAAAACTTAAAAAAATAATATCACTCTAAGTTATTTTAGAAACTTTTCAAAAAATCCACAATTGTTTTGAGTACATAAATGCAACTTTTTAAAACTGAATTTCAGCTATTCTCACAGAACAACCGGTCGACTTAATTAAACTTCTCCTGTTCCGCCTCTTCGAGTGCCTCTCTCAATTCATAAGTTCTTTTGTAAACCTTGTTGTTAACCATACCGCATAAAAAAATCTAAAATGGATAGGTCAAGTGACCCAGGAGACCCATGCAATTTGTCCTCCTCTTTCTATCCCCGAGTCTACATAATTATGATATAAATAATGTTTAACATTTCTTTCATTGTGTGTGTGGGGTCATAATGAAAGTCATGTTGGAACCACTCTATTAATGCGCGAGTATTAATAAATTTAACTTTTCTAACATATCTTGAAAACCTTTCTCTAAAAAACTTAAGTAACGTTCACCGGTCAACGGTCAACGTATCCTCGAAACTGTATGGCCAAGAAAAGTTGAACCAATAATCCTACACACTTTTCTTCGTTTGAAAAACTCTTATTTAAATTTTCGTTTATTTTAATTTACAAAGATTGATTTGGTGACAATTTCGTATTTCTGAGAGCAACGACGATTGAACTTGTTTCCATGGCTAACTAAGTGAAATTAGTCACGAAAGATAAGAATTGGCTATAACTCAGTAATTTTGCGAAAGAAACATGTTATAGCTAATATCGCTGAAAAGCTTAAAAATGGTGCTTTTTATGAAGTCGTGGCCAACTATGGTTTCCATTTAAAAAAACATATGTTTGTGTCATATGTCAAAAATGACAGACTTTAGAAAAAATCGGAGAACACAATCTCATTAGGGATGTGATTATCTACAACTTTTATCTGAAAACTTTTTGTCTAAAATAGATTATAATGGAATTAGGGACAATTTTTAAAATAGCCAAAATTTGTTTTTTTCGAAATATCTAGTAAGCCATGAACTTTTTCAAAAATCTGAAAGGCGCATATTTATGACCCCATAAAACTGCAAATCTTTCCCCATTTAACTGACTCTATCTCCAGTAGTTTCCGAGATACCCATAGAGAACATCGTAGGAAACTCACCCTGTATACAATAATTAAGCTTAATATTTTTTTTTTAAATAGGTGCTAACTTTTACATTGTGGGGAGAGATCCTGCAGGTATTGCCCATCCGGCAGGGAAAGAAGCTTCTCCAGATGGTAACTTGTTTGAAATCACACATGGAGGGCGCGTTTTAAAAATGGCTCCAGGTAAGAGGCTCCAGGATTTTTTGCAGCAAACGCCAAATAAAGTTGTGTACATGTCATCTCCATTTATAGTCTGTTTCAAAAAGCCTGATAAGCCTAATAGTACAGCGAGAAGAGCTGGCGCCATAAAACATCATAACCTATAGGCGCTACAACTTTTACAAATTCCATCAGCCGACATTTTATCGATGTACTTAAACAGCCGTTAAACGGTAGCCTACTAAAATGCCGTTAATAGATATTATGACGTCGTTGATGTCGGCGGAAAGTAATGCCTAGCGATAGGCATTTTGCAAGAGCACCTGTGGCTCCGTGACTGAGGCTATTGCTTCGTGAGCGAAAGGTCCATGGTTCAAATCTCACGCCGGACCAAGACTTTTTTAGATTTTTTTTGCTTATAGCGTGATCTGATTGCATTGGTTTCACTCTTTTAGGTTGGATTGGTTTAGTTATTTGGCGGGTTGGTTAGCGTGGTTATTTGGAGGGTGTTAATTCATTGGTTAGTTGGTTATTTGGTGGGGTTGGTTGGTTTTTACTAATTTATATTTGTTTTTTATATTTTTAAGTGTCAGGGTTAGTTGCGTTGGTTAAGTTGGTTATTTGGTGGGGTGGATAGCGTTGGTTAGTCCTTATAAAATTCCTATATTTCATAAAACCGTCAAGTGCGTCTCATCAACGACGTGATACCTATTAACGGCATTTTAGTAAGCTACCGTTTAACGGCAGTTTAAGTACAGCCCTTTTTTATTTACCACAGTAGATTGCAGCAAAAAAATTCTTCGCTTTTTATTATGTTCGCTGAGTATTCTGTGGTATAATAGCTTCCTGATCACTTTATAGTTATGAATCCCGCCAAATTATACCAGTACAAATACAATTGCATATACCTGTCAAAAATTATGTGCATTCAGTATCTCTGTGTCTACCTTGCGGTGGATTTACAAACATGGAGATATTTATTCCAATCTAGATAAATGGTATTTTTGATTTTAGAGCGAAATTTCGCATATGGTGTATTGCAACGTCGGGAAAAAGAGAATTTTAAGAAAGCTGGTTCTTAATATATCTTTTGCTATGCTCCCCTGAGCAAAGTGCGGGCCGTCTGGTGCCGGTAGACTACTGCGGTTCACTACTGCGCATCACATGTGTGTTTTATGGGATTTCTCGTTTATGAGTAGAGATACAATGATACGATTTTCACATTACTTTGCTACTTTTTTATGAAACTAATACGCTACACATATGTTTGTCCTAGCCTCCTTAGTTCCTGAAATACAGGGCGAATTTGTGATGCGCAGTAGTGAACAGATGTTGAATACAGATATGATGCGCAGTAGTGAATGCAACGTCTACCGGCAGCCAGACGGTCCGCAGGAAAGCAATAAAGAACCAGCTTAAAATTCTCGAAAACGTGTAGCGAAATCGTTATAGAAATGAAAATATAAAATGACACCAATCACAAGCAAATTGTATATCTGATGAACGGAGGCATGAAAATGCAATAAAAGCATGAAAATGCATGAAAATCAAGCTTAACAGATACACACAAACGCAACTTTAAAAGTAGTTTTTGATAACATATACAACGTATATCAAAAATATCAAGTAGAAAAGTTGCTGAAAAATTCGATTGATTCTTTCAAGTCATAAAATTAATATACTTAGCAAATATCCCAAAATATTAAAAAAAATAAACATGTTGTAACCTTACTGACAAAAAGACTTACACGCTCTTAAAAGGTTATTTGCTGTGATATAGGATATAGATAAGATATAACATAATGGTTGTTGGATGCTACAACAACCCACAACAATCATGTGACTCAGACTGTGGTTCACCATTGATGATATGTACACTACTTTATTTGTATAGTTCGTTTCACATTACTTTTGCTCGTTTCGACATACACATATTAATATCTTATTAAATTTATTTTAATCCTGATATAACTTTTATAGATTCATCAAATACATTTAGGCAATATTCAAAAATAAAATAAAAATAGAAATTTTTCATATATCTTTTTTATTATTTGATTTTATTTAACGAAAATACCGATGTTCATTGCTTTGGCAGATCGTACTATGTCTTATTGTTCATTCATTATTTGATTAAAAATAATTTTACTAGGTTTAAATAACTTGGAAATTATTCCGTTCCGGGTAGCCGCCTATGACAAGAAATTAAGAAAAATGAATTTCTTTGATCCAACAAGAAAAGAAGATTTTGAGTTCATATCCGGCACTAAGATGAGGACACTGGCTCGAAATGGAGAAAACCCACCTGAAGGTTTTATGGCCCCTAAAGCTTGGGATATTTTGGCGGGGTATTACCAGGCGATATCCCAAACAACTTGTTAAATGTATGCCTAAAAAAAATTAGAATTACGATATAGCACTTATAGGCAACTAACCAAAAAAAGGTGCTCTAATAATTAAGTACAATATATATGTATTATTATACATTATCTTTTGTTGCTAGATAAGTATCATATAGCATTTATTATTAGTTAAGTTGTTTATATTTATATTATATATTAATATATTTATTTGGTGGTGTTAAAAAGTCATTAGAATGTTCCAGTAAAAAAAATATTTATTAGACGTACTTATATAACTAATGTATACAAATAATACACATTCCAGTTAAGAAGAATGTTCAACTTTAAATAAAGGTGCTATTAAGTAGGTAACAATATATATATTTTAACCAATATCTATACTAAAAAAACAAAACTTAAAAATCAAAATGTTTTTGTTTAAAAACACCACAGGGAATTAGACCATGGAGACAAATTTGAAAATATCTTTTTACTCAAGTGAAAAGCTATTGAGAGTTTCGTCTCTAGTGATACTCAAGCCAGTTTGAATTTTTACATAAATATTTCAAGGATAACATATCTTTGTTTTAATGGAGTTATTCCCAGAAAAAAATACGGTAACAATAGTTTTGTCCTAACAAAATATGAATATATATATAGTCTGTCAAGTAGGAGTTTATTCCACAATTACAGTTAGTTCCACAGTTGCTTGTCAGCTTAGTTCAATATATTTCAATATATTTTCTTCAAATATATTTTTTTCTGTCAATTTTTGAATGTGGTTTGACGAAATCGGTCACATCTCTTGCCGGACAAACTTTACATAGATAAAAAAACTAAAGAATATATACAGGGTGAGTCTTAAATAAGTGCAAATATTTTCAGGGCTGGTAGATCTTGATAAAAGATATGTTTCTTTCTCTTTACCATTTTTCAGATAAGTCAAAAATAACCGAGTTATTAAGTTTGAAAATTAAAAAAAATGATTTTTTTTAATTTTGACAGCCACCGGATTTTTTCTGTATTTGCATCCCTTTTAGTGCCGTAACCATAGAGTAAAACCGTAACTATGGTAATAGAGATTAAGAAATTATATCGTGGGAAAATTTGCGGTGAACAGGCAGTTCTATTTTAGGAAATTTAAAAGAAAATGCACGACTTTCAACATCTTTTTTTTGCGAAAAAAACCTCATAGACATGTAAAATGTGAAAAAAAAACGTGAAATATTTGCACTTGTTTAAGACTCATCCTGTATAGTCTGATTCACAAATGACGATTGCGTCCGTCGTAGTGAATATTCTAGCGAACTAGAATACGCATGACAGTAATAAATTCGTTTAACAATCACCTCGTTTCGAGGAAACAGATACACTTGTTCATCATGATTGATACCCATTGTAATTTATACCTAACAAAAAAAATAGTCTTATCCTTATTTTAAATATTCTAAAAAATGTGTCAGGACAAGAAATAAAAAATCATAATAATCAATGATTTCTGTATATGAATTTTCTCCGTCGACGGGCTGGAGGAAAAAATTTACGGATGAAAAGTGGCGTGAAAACGCTATGACCAATCAGAGCCGCCGGACCAACGTATCAACGGATAATGGATGCATGAAAATCAAACTTAAATCGCACGGGAAAACATGGCAACACTTGCTTGATATTATGGCAATACCCGTAGTCAATTTCAAAAGGCCTTTGATATTATTTAACATAATTTTTGCTTTAAATTTTATAGTATACTAGTTGAATATACGAAATATTATTATACTTGCTGCTAGGCGTCTCGAGTTGAACTTTCCATTCGTGCGTTTCCAGCTTTCACAGCATAAAGTACTACACAAATTGTTTTTGTGACGAGTTAATTTCAATGACTAAAGAATACAAGGACATGTAACGCCTTATAAGTGTAACGCCCATATACGGGCTGCAGCAGAATTTGTGATCTTAGACGCCATTTTTTTTTTGGAAGTAACGAATGAGTCATCAGCATTTGCGTCTAACCGTACCGTGCAACTCTTCAACGTCCAACCCACAGTTCCGGCGCAAGCGTATTGTAACGGCAGAACAAAGCTAATAGGGGGGGCTTCAATATAGCCTGGTTATAAAAGCAGTGTGTAGCTCCGTGGTTAAGGCTGCCGCTTCGGGAGCTTCGTTGAATCGACATTTTTTTACAGCTGTGTAAGTTTTTTTGGTTTATAGATTGCACGCGAAATACCCGATCGATTTTGTAGAACTGTTATATATTGTTATAATTTGTACGTTTTTGAAATTTAGGTTAAATTCTGCTACTATTACTTAAAAACTTACTCTCAAAAGTTACAAGTTTATAATAAAAGACAAGAAATAACCCACGATTGAAATTTGGTGGGAACTCTGTGGGTTGGAGTTGGAGAGTTGCACGGTACGGCTAGACGCAAGCGTTATCAGCGACAATTTTAGCGATTTTTAATAGTTTGTTGTATGTAGTATGTAGTGAACTTTCTATAAACTTTATTACAATGGTAATTTGTTAGCTTTCAACAATAAAAAATATAATATTATATTATTTATGAAACATAGTTTTTTTTGTAGAATACCACTGCGTTAGAACCTAAACCGAAAGCAGATTGTCAGTGGCTTTCTACTTGTAAACAACTTTGCCTAACCAACAAAAAACGCTTAACGTTTCAGGAGGTATATCTTACACCGCTGTCAGAAGCAAAGTCAAGAATATTAAAGAAGCTACTGACAACTGGTTTCCGTTTGGATTATAATGCAGTGGTATTTTACAAAAAAAAATAATGTATTATATATATTATTTATACTGTAATATATGTATACAATATTGTTTTAATTGATAGAGAAATACCAACACTTTTTCCAGAAAAGATATGTAGCTAATCACGGACATTTTTTCTACCAAAACATAAAAGTGTAAGTAAAAAAGTGATGGGCATATTTTGTTAATATTTTTATATATATAAAAAAAGAGAATGCAAATTTAGCAAAACAACAGCATTATTATGAACTTTATGTTATCTACCACCCTCTAATAACAGTCTCATATCTGAGAGGCCTTAGTATAGAATCTATCTAACGAGAAGATACTTGACAGAGAGAGTTGTCTGTCAGTAAACTAAATTTCCTATCATTTAGTGAATGTAACGTCTCGCGAAATATTCCCTGACTAGTTGGACAGACTATAAATACGAAAAGTTAACAGTGATATATCAAAATAACTTTATTTAGAGATCATTGTATTGTGTTATTGAAATCATAGAGAAATACACCAATATTGAAAAAAAATTAGAGATATATTCAAAACGGATAATCCTATGAGCATGAAAGGAAAAACCTTTAAGCAGTGTGCTGTGCGGCTAGCATACGGGACTGGCACATTAACTACAACCTGTGCTAAAATATGCAAGTAACACAACTTAGAATATAGAAAACCATGCAAGGGGTCTTCTTGAGTTATCAAATCCTAAACGAAAGAATAAAAACACATGTAAAGGCTAATAATGGTGCGCATTTCAAAGCAAAAATGGAAACGGAAGGGACATTTGATAAGAATAAGAATGGCTGATGGTCGAAGAGTCTTGGAATGTCAACCAAAATTGGATATATGCATATATATGCAACCAAGGTAGACCAGCTGACCAATGAACAGACCACCTTAAAGAATTAATCAGATTGAATAAGAATGGCTGATGGTCGAAGAGTCTCGGAATGTCAACCAAAATTGGATATATGCATATATATGCAACCAAGGTAGACCAGCTAACCAATGAACAGACCACCTTAAAGAATTAATCAGATTGAATAAGAATGGCTGATGGTCGAAGAGTCTTGGAATGTCAACCAAAATTGGATATATGCATATATATGCAACCAAGGTAGACCAGCTAACCACGTCGGATGATTAGTTAAAATTATCGGATAAAAATTGTTGTCAAAATATTTCGACCAATAGGAGCACCGTCGGATCGTCGTGTCATCGGATTTCGGATGCATGAGACTCCGGCTTAAGAATGGCTGATGGTCAAAGAGTCTTGGAATGTCAACCAAAATTGGATATATGCATATATATGCAACCAAGGTAGACCAGCTAACCAATGAACAGGCCACCTTAAAGAATTAATCAGATTGAATCGCAGAGGCTTGGAAGAAACTCCTTGATGAGACTTCTGTTTAGCATTGGACAAAAAGGTATAACGATGATGATTTATACATTGTAATAATTTATTATGATTTAATCCGATAAACAAAGTTAAACATGGTGTCATACTTATCAACATAAAAAAGTGTAATTAAGGACTGAAGAATAGAAGATATAAGAAGATAAGTAATAAAGAAAAAAATAATAATGCATATACTGACTGTCGTTAGCTGAGATTAAAAATGCATGCAAATCGTTTTAAAGAATGGCAGATCTTCAGGGCCATTTCAATACCCTTGGGAATTAGTGAAATACGGATCTGAAAAACTATTTAATATGCTGAAGAACCTATTTCAAAAATGTCTCAACACCTCGGAAGTACCTGAAGAATGGAAACTGTCATACCTAAAAACAATACATAAAAATGGAGATAAAGGTATCTGCGACAATTATCGAGGAATAGTGATTACAGGTACCATTAGTAGAGTATATGGAATGGTTCTGAAAAATAGAATTGAAAAGGAATATACTGGAGGCTCAAGAACAAGCAGACTTTAGAGCAAGATGATCCACAGTAGACCTTCTCTTCACGCTAACACAAATCCTAGAAAAGAAAACAGTATTTGATCAGGAAGTTCATATTCTACTTGTTGATTTGAAGAAAGCTTATGACAGCATACATTTAGGGAGAATTTGGGAGACACTTCAACAAAGTAATATGAACGCAGAAATAATAAAAGCTGAACGATATCGTAGACGGCATTAAAACTCAACAATTAATATGGTATGGGCATGTGCAAAGGATAGAAGAATATCGAATCCCAAAGAAAATATTAAATTTGAACCCTCAAGGTAGAAAGAAGAGGACCACGCAAGATTGGAAGTAGATTGATGGGGAGATAGAGAGAGGTGGAGATACTGGAATCGTAAGACGGAAAACGTTGTAACCCGATTATTATTATATCATATATAATAATAATGTATATTACTGCCAAGAGTAATTATAAGAAATTCAATATAGAGGGTACATTTAGAGCCTAAAAGGCATGATTTTTTATAACAAAGATAATGAAATAAAAGTTGCCAAACTTCCTGATGAAGAGAGGTCCAAAACGGACATTTATGTCACAGAATCTAAGTATTTTCTATTAATGTAGTAAAATCATAATGTAAATAATGAAAAATGAACCATGAACTGCAAGGACTAACGATGAGATCTTAAGAATGATTAATAAAGACCGCGAACTGCTGGACACAATCAAATGACACAAGTCAAGTAATAGGTAACGATAGATAATTCCTTCAGTTGATTATTGAAGGAAGGAGGAGTCAGCAGGAAAAGGATATATCATGGCTTCGTAACATCAGACAGTGGACGCGACTGAGATCAATGGACGTGGTCTACTCCATACAATCCTAAATAAAGAGAGTGGATTTGCAACAGAAGAAGAAGAATGAAACATATGACACAAGTCCTTTACTAGAAAGCAACAAGATGGCGAGAGCTTTATTCCCTTTAAATATTTAGCGGTATTTGTGGAAATTCTATAGTATACAAATTCTATAACAGCCATCCTACATTTACATTATGTATGACTCACGAAGATTGCAAAGATGCAGAAATTGATTTCAAGGAAGACTAATCAGAAATAATTAAGTAAATTTAATCAGTTTGAGAGGAAGGGGGCAGAACATGACAGATTGAATCAGAAAAAGTTCAATATGTGAGAAAAACATTACGCTGCTTTTGATAAAGTATGCAACAATACAAACATTAATTTGTATAATATAGAAGGGAAGATATTTAGAATAATCAGAAGGTATATTATTTAAACGCACAAGCGTTAATTGTTATATCTATATGTATATTTTTAACGAATTAATGGTCTGGTAAATTATTATATTAACTATTTTTAGTAAGAGTAGAATCTGTGATATAGTAATATGATATTTGTTACCATGTTGCGTAAATAAGGATAATATAAGATGTATATTATTTCAGGGTTACACGGCTTCAGGGTAAAATAAAAAAGGTTTCTATAATAATTAAAATATAATTTTAATGATAATAATATTATTGAAAAAGAATAAGAAAATATTTTAACGAACATATTCCTTTTCAACATAAAAGTGCCATCCGCGCAAGAAATTTCATAATAATCATGAGAATGTACCGTATGATCGAAAAAAAAACGGCGTCAGCGATGGCTATGAAATGAAGATCGCTATCATTTTATAAGTAAATTGATATGGGAATTTCACAGACAACTGGACGCCGTTTTTTTTTCGATCATACGGTAGTATAGCAGATCTCCAGGGCCATTTCAATACCCTGAAGAATTAGTGAAATACGGATCTGAAAAACTATTTTATATGCTGAAGAACCTATTTCAAAAATGTCTCAATACCTCGGATGTACCTGAAGAATGGAAACTGTTATACCTATCAACAATACATAAAAATGGAGATAAAAGTATCTGCGATAATTATCGAGGAATGATTACAGGTACCATTAGTAGAGTATATTATGGAAAGTTTTTGAAAAATAGAATCGAAAAGGAATATATTGGAGGCTTAAGAACAAGCAGACTTTAGAGCAAGATGATCCACAGTAGACCATCTTTTCACACTAACACAAATCCCGAAAAGAAAACAGCATGTGATCAGGAAGTTCATATTCTACTTGTTGACATTCGAGCGTATAATTTTCTTAAGTGAATAAAATGCAACTAAAACACGAATGTAATACACACCTGTATATACATATTTAGCTCAAATTATAAAATTTTAAGTATAATTAAGTAAAATTCGAGGCTTGTCATAAGAATTGCCAAAGGTTTAAAAAAAAGGAAAATGCAATAAGACCAAGCAACCAACCAAACCAAACTATCCATTTGCCTGCGAAGTCTCGAGAACAAAAAAATATTCGCCGAATTTAACTAGTGAAGAGAAAAATGGGGGGTAACTTATTCAAGAAGTTAATAGTTATTCAACTATTTGGATAATGTTATTTTATCACACTAGGAAATAATACATTATCATTATAAACGCTTCATATTATGAGTGGATAAAACTCTTATTATTGTATGATTGTGGAAAAAAAATATTTAATCAATGCCCGCACTAGAAGAAATATCATTAAGTACTAGATTTGAAGGAGAGATTTTATCATTGTCAACTATTATCATAACTGAAGCCAGAATGTGGCTACAGTTACCCATTAGAGAGTATCTAAATATTCAGTATGTAGTATGTAATCATGTATTCACGTCAAATTTAGTAAATAAATACTTAAAAATATAAATTCTTCTTTTTTCACTACAGTACAAAACAGAAAATACACAATAAAGATTGGCTTGGAAATGACAATCAATGACATTCACCATATAAAAACGGCGATCTTCATTTCCAAGCCAAATCTGAAGGCTTGGAAATTTCGTATGGTACTACCAGAGTAAGAGGATCGACAAGTAGCGACAGAAACCGTCGGCTCTTTTGATGTAGTGGCACCATAGACAAACAAATAAAAAGAGACTGACAAATCCCATGGTAAAGAGTGGGACCGCGTTCCCGTAGCGCAACTCAGAATAACAATTTTGAAACTAATTAGCAGGATCATGGCAGGACGTACGTCTTTATTGCTATCTTTCTTTATTATGTGTGCTTTATATGAAAAAGAAAGAGATAGGTATAAAACGTATCGTAAGATATTATAGCACATTCTGGCTGGCGGTAAATTTAAATTAGCCTTTATTAGTAGTATTCTTTCATTCTGAAACTGAAAATTTTCACTTAAACTGATTTATTCCCTATACCACGTAAAGGGAACGTGGTGTAGGGAATAAATCAGTTTAAGTGAAAATTTTCAGCTTCAGAATGAAAGAAAACTACTATATATTATAAGGGAAATTATAAAAAAGCAAAAATTGTACTGTTTTATAAACATATTTATTTATACATAAAAATAAATAAACTTTTTATAATATAATAAAAAAAAATAACAGTGTTTATTTCACCCACCTACCAATTTTGAATGCAGAAGAACTGACTGTTGCAGGAAACGATCGGCCAATTTTTTTAAAGGGCATTGAAAATCTCATTTTCGAAAAAACTGCCTAATTGCAATAACAAAGTGAATATTCAAGCAAAGAAGACTTTCCGAGAATCATGATCCTGAACCATTTTCAGTCATGATGGTGAAAACGAAAGGCGATTGTTTGTTTTATATGGCTGCTTCTTTCTCTCTTGTTATATTAGAATGAGATAATAGGCCCAATAGACGCAATGCGTAGATCAACATAAATAGAACGAAATTTTGCGTTCTGAGTTGCGCTACGGGAACGTTGTCCCTCCCTTTGCCAGTCTCTTTTTATTTGTTTGTCTATGAGTGGGACCAAATTTTCTTTCTCTCTCTTTTGACGTGTTTGACAGATAGACTACTTATTTAACTACTCAACTTATGAAGTGGTCCTAGAAACATGGTATACACTGCTCATAATTTGAAGTGGAATTAATTATAAAGTTTTATACATATATTTTTTGTTTTGTTTAATCCCTATTTCTAAATTTGAATGTATAAAATATCTTACAACTAATAAATAATTAAAAAAATGATTCTTTGCTTGAGGCATACTTGAAATAGAGAATATAGAGATATTTGACAAATGGCAACAGTGGCAACTTCGCTTCTTCATATGACAGATAACCTACTTATTTCGCGCAGCTGCAAAGAAAATTGAAAACCGGACTGTCGCTACTCGTCGGTTTACTTACTCTGGTACTACCTCTAGTATAGTTAATCAACAAAAGAATACATGATAGTGACAGTTGTAGTCTATCATTATAATTACCAAGCAATTGTATTGTGGCAGACATCATGACAGAAAATACTGTATGATCGAAAAAAAACGGCGTCCAGTTAGCTTGGAAATGACGATCGATGACATTCCCCATATAACTTTACATGGCCATCGCTGACGCCGTTTTTTTTCTATCATATTGTACAATTTTACATGTGACTTAAAACAAATAACAAACAACAACTGGCACTTGTGTCGGATAAACCTTAAATGTATGTAAAAAATGGAGTGGATGGTCGATGAATATTAAAGTTATGTGAATATGCAAACAGGTATCTGTAAACAAAGTCCATCACTGTGATGGTAATTACACATGGCCTACAGGCACAAACTGTGGATAGCAATATATAAAAGTAAAAAATTCTTAATGCTATTTATATCACATTGAAAACTAAATGCTCTAAAAGTTATGTTAATTAAAACATAAAAACGAAATAAATCTATTCAAAATTTAGTAATCATCATTGGCAATGTCATAATCATATTCAGAATCTAGATCTGAACAAATGTGATAATTGTATCCTTCAGAATCACTATCCGATTCGCTAGAATCACCGAATCCTAAATCTAACATTTTGCGACGTTCGTCGTTATCTTTCAACATTGAAATATCGTAATGAACCTTTCTATTCCTTTCCGCCTTTAACAATAACCTAGGCCATTCCGCGTCTTTGCTCTTCTTCAGGGTTATTCTCACTTGCGAACCTAAAATCGTATATTCGTAGGTTTTCTCCACTTTTTCAAACAGCATTAACTTCACCATGTATTTCTTTCCATTTAAGTCGGTGCTAGAAAATTAAAGAACAGAATGTAAAATGCATAACAAAATTTGTGTGTGTTTCTAAGACTTTTTTTGTATAAAATCTATTACTTAAAACCGTTCACAACGATAACACGTATTTTAATCAAAAATTTACTTTTATTTTTCTACACAATCACCTTGCGAAGCCACAAACTACGTCCAATAATAACTATGTTTTTATTTAAGAATTTAGAACACTTAACAATTTATGTAACTAAAAAAATTCAACATACCTGAAATTGAAGGCCCTATTTTGCAGCAAACTAATTCGACAATCCTTAACATCTGGAATATTTATTGTAAGTCTGATATTACTGGCAGTCTGGTACCAGATGACATTTGGAGTTAGATAATCAACTTCTGGAGCGGCTTTTATAACTGGTAGATCGTTTTTAGTGGTCATACCTTGATATTGTTTAAGAACTCCTATATTGCAACCGGCTTCGATTAAAAATTGTTCCACGTCAAACGCAACAAACTCATACTTGCTAAAATCTTCCTCTGGAGGCACATTTTCTAAAAGTTATAATTCTTGAAAATAAATACAAGGTTGCTGTTATGTATGGAAACGGACGACTATTAGGTAAAATATAGGAGGTATCGCAAAAAGTTAAAAATAAAAGTTATAGGGTTTATAAATATCTATTAGCGGGTAATAAATTTAAGTATAAAGGGTCGGTCACATGTCGTGGCACATCAAAGTTTCATTTTTTTTTAAATGGAACCCGCTGTATATTATTGCATATTTCGGTTCTTCCTTCAATTCTAAGCAAAAAAATCGAAATACACACAATGTACCTCAAACCAACCGTTTCCAAGTTATTGATTTTGGAAAATATCACTTAAACAATTTGATTTAATTAATTTCGATATGTTCAGTTTCATGTAACGATGCCCTTCTGCCGAAACTGCGATACTTAATAATATTTGATATTAGTTCTCAAGTTAGCATTTATAGATGTATAAAATGAGAGTATATCAAGTCTGGAAATTACAAAATTTTCGTTAGGTTCCGTTTAACATTTCAATTCTTCAATTTATGTACATTGTGTATTATGATTATTGCTTAAAATTGAAGGAAGAATTGAAATATGTAATAATATATAGGGGGTTTATTATATTATATTAATGTTTGGGTTAGGTTATGTTTTTGGTTGTTTTGTTGTGTGTTATTCTCGAGATTAACCGGGTAATGTCGACATTAACTGGACATCGGACCTTAACCGTAACATATATAAGAAGACAGAATACCAAACAAATACCGGGTGCGTCTCACACTGGCTCGAAATGGAGAAAACCCACCTGAAGGTTTTATGGCCCCTAAAGCTTGGGATATTTTGGCGGGGTACCAGGGGTACCAGGCGATATCCCAATCAACTTGTTAAATGTATGCATAAAAAAATTTTAGAATTACGATTTAGCACTTATAGGCAACTAACCAAAAAGGTGCTCTAAATTAAGTACAATATATGTATTATTATATATTATCTTTTGTTGCTAGATAAGTATCATATAGCATTTATTATTACAGCTAAGTTGTTAATATTTATATTATACCGGGTGCGTCTCAAAAGTGGCTCACCCCCTATAACTTTTTTATTTTTTCAGATAAAACAACGATATTTGGTATGTTATTATATGACATAAATTGGGATTGATTGATGTATTCAATTGTTTTGGTCACTTCCGGTTTCACCGGAAATTACTACAACTTTTGATTTTTAAATGGCACCCTCGGTATTTTTTTACTTTATTCGATAGAAAGTGACACTCTGAATCGAATGACATATCGTATGCCAACTTTTGACATTTTGGTATATGGTTTATTTGAAATTGTAACATGCGGTTCATAACGACAATTTGACTCAAAATACCAAGTGTGTGGTATCAAATTATTCGTAAAAAAATGCTTTTTCCAAATATGCTAATGAGCCACCCTCGTTCCATTTGAAAAAATTGAGATATGATTAAAAATACGATTTGGGTATCTTTTAACCGGCCAGGACAAGACACTCAAAACATTAGAAGATCAAATCTATTTTTCCAAGGCTCCTTGATTAAAAATTAGTGTTTTTAACTCAGCAGTGGCACTCTAGATTGAAATTTAAAATAGAATTTGCCGAGGGTGCCATTTAAAAATCAAAAGTTGTAATCATTTCAATCAATCAATTTTTTTATGTTTTCAAAATACAAGAGAAAAAACTAAGCATACCGGGTGCATCTCAAAAGTGGCTCACCCCTATAACTTTTTTATTAATAAATTACTTACTATGGTACGGTACAATACATGCTTTTTCCAGATATCCTAATGAGCCACCCTCGATCCATTTGAAAAAACTGAGATATGATTAAAAATACGATTTGAGCATTTTCTAACTGGCCAGGACAAGACACTAAAAACATTAGACGATCGAATCTATTTTTTCAGGGCTCCTTGATTAAAAATTAGTGTTTTTAAAATAGCCATGGCACTCTAAATGAAATTTTAAAATACGATTTTTTATTAAGCGAGAATGTCAAAGTTGACATGTTATGTCATTCTATTCAGAATGTCATTTTCTATCGAATAAAGTAAAAAAATACCGATGGTGCTATTTAAAAATCAAAAGTTGTAGTCATTTCCGGTGAAACAGGAAGTAACCAAAAACAATTATTGAATACGTCAATCAATCCTAATTTATGTCATATACTAACATGCCAAATCTCGTTTTTTTATCTGAAAAAATAAAAAAGTTATAGGGGTGAGCCACTTTTGAGACGCACCCGGTATATTAAATGTTATTCAGTACAAACTATTTCAAATTCAAATTGTCAAATTTCAAATATCACTAATCACTAGGTATACAGGGTGAACCTTAAATAAGTGCAAATATTTTCAGGGTTGGTACACCTCGATGAAAGAAACATTTTTTCTTTTTACAATTTTTCAAATAAGTCCAAAATAACCGAGATATTTTACTTTGAAAATTTATTAAAAAAATATTTTTTCGCATACATTTTGAGAACCACTGGATCTTTTCTGGATTTTCATTCTTGTAAATTTAATCTATTACCTACATATGTTAGCATATTATGAAGATATTATATTATATTTTTTAACTAAAAATTTTAAAAAAATCCAAAAATTTTGAAAAAAATTCAAAATTTTGAAAAAAAAATTCGAGAGAAATTCATAGACCTATTTCTGTGGAACAACCGTCCAAAAATTATGACATCATTTATGTGCATTTGACTGCCTCACTAAAGAATAATATTTTAGGCCTAATCTTGCAGAACTGTAATTTTCCCAACCCAACTCCCTATGTTGTATTCACGTTAGTTTTATTAAAACTATCACAACCGAAATTTTGCGTTAAATCTAATATTATGATTTACATTGATTACTATTAAAATACTTTTTTATATATTGGCACAGCAGGGGAATGAATAATATATACTGATAAATATATCAGCAAATACTAAATATATAGTCGATATATTAAATAGCGAGAGACATATGCTTCAATAGAATCCAAGAAAATACAGTAAAAACGACACTCCTTTAAATTAATATGACAATATACTATCACGAATATCACATATTCTTTCCATGGACAGACTATAATCATAAATTTCCTTAACCAACAAAAATGTCTTAACTTTTCAAAAGATAATTAGAGAAAAGTAAATTTACTTGAGTTTTAAGAGTCTCTTAGTAGCATTTTTTATAGAAATACTATAAAGAGATAGATATTGAGTAAGTGTTTCTTAAACTCTAAAGGATCTTACCTCTATTTTCCCCAACACTATTGTAATCCATTTCATTGATATAATCATCACCATCATCTTCATCATCATCTTGCGACACAGTTTCGGGTATTTCAAAATCTTCCAATTCCTTTCCGTTAGGCAAGGCAAATCCGCAATCAATTAGTAACTGACTCAATAAAAGATGCCTTTCACTAAATCCATCTTTAATAGCTACTAAATACGAATTCTGTTTTTGCACAATCTCATTATTTTGTCTCGAATAGACTTTCACAAACAGAGATCGAAAAACATCTGTACCTGGTTCAAAACCCTTGTCGTACAGCAAATCTGTGGCCTCATCTCTCCAAGTTCCATCGATAGATTTAACTCCGTACATCGAACATTGAATGCTTTGGAATGGAAGTTTTGTGATCATCTCATTGCGTATAAATTTCAAGGAAGATACAGGAACAATGATGTCGTCACCATAATCGACACAAAATACGTGGGCGTTGTCATTGTCTACTGTCATTAGGAGGGCGCGAGAATAATTTTCGGTTTCCACATCTTTAACCAAATAACAATTTCCGACTTCCACTTTATCTGGTACAGGGTAAAACGGTTTTCGAATTTCTTTTAGAATGTATTCCTCTAAATCAAGAAGCCTAAAGAAATATATGTAGAAAGTACAATAGCTTTGGTTAGACTACGGATATTAGATCATATAAACTAACGTGGATGCCACTATGCTATAAAAAGTTGATATAACTCTGTTGTCAACATGTCATAAGATTTTTCACATCTCACTATAAAAACATATTGACTATCATCTTTCGATTAGTGTAAAATGAAGGAAGATGATAGCTACCCCTTTTGCGCGTTTTGCTGCCGCTCTTTTAATAAAACATTTATTATACAAGATGTGTCTATAGTTCAGTCACAGATTAAATTACAGATGTGGCACTTATTTCATCTTGCTGTTAAACGCCGCCGTGACCTCGGACCTTTAATAGGGCTATGGCATTGTCAGACTTCGTTTTTTTTTCTCGAATGCATTGTTGCCTTTTGTAAAAAATGCATTCCTAATTGAAATAATACTTAATCTGTGGCACAACTTTTTTGTAGCGATTCATCATACGCGTGCGCTTTGTATTCAGTCTCTTTAAATAGGGTATTTAAAGGGACGGAATGCGTCCTTGTTTTATTTAGTTTCTCCGTCTTACTGATAAATCTGTGTTAATTTATGGTTCAGTTTTTAATGTGCAGCTGGAACTGTTATTAAAAACTGAAAATGTTATTAGAACTGCACATTACAAAAAAATTTGGAATACTAATATTGAATTTTAGTGTTTTGCCCCATCTACACGTTTTACCTGCCAGATAAGAGCGTCTACACTAGAATGTAGAATGTATGGTAGGAGGATTATCACCGCGACCTTACAGATCTATTGTCGTCTAAAGCTAGTGTTAGCAAGTTTTACATGCGGTTTTACGATTTATAACATTGTGTTTAGTGAAGTTGAAGAAAAAAAAATTAAATTTTACTACAAAATTGTAATTATGGTTCAATTTTATTTGTGAACACTGAAAGCTAATTGTGAAAATCGTATCGTTTGGTAATAACCATACAATATATCTAAACAATTTTGTAAAATTATATCATTTTGGAAAATTATGTAAAAATATTAAATTTTTAGGTTACTTAAAATAGTTAATTTTTTTGTAAATTTACTTTTTTTTCCAGTGCAAGCAAAATGACCGTTTTGTTGTAAAACTGAATGATCCCGTCATTTCTCTAGACGGTCTTCCGTTTTAATTCAGTTCAAGTAAAACGGACCGTTTGTCTGTCTAAACAGAAAATTTTACTTGTAACGTCTTGACTGAGCAGGTAAGACTGACAGGTACAACGTTATGTGTAGACTTCCCAAAAATTTTCTTATACGTTGGACAGGACTAACAGTGTAAACATTTATTTCCAAAATAAAACTTTTTTTGTTTGAAAAAGTCTCTTTGTATTTTTTTTTTCAACATTAAATACAATAAGTCTCAAAATAATAGAAAATAAGAAACATTAAATATGATAGAAATAAGAAAGATATGTTTAGTGGACAAACGTTGACGACATAACGAAATTATTAAATATTGTATCCATGTTACTTTGTATGATTTAAGGAAGATTCAAAGTTAACTTACTGCTTATAAAATTTGGTTTGTTTAACGTAGAATTCTGCAGGCGAAGTAGCACTACTAAACATCACTTCTGTAATGTCATCACAACTTAAGAACGCCCATTGTGGTTTAGCTTGTTCAGCTTTACGAATGTTAGTTTTGGGTTTAGGCAAATTATACTCCATAAGTTCAATGTCAGCTTCTTTACACAAGTTATATAGCAAATTTAGCGGGTCTTCACTTTGAAGTGCCAGTCCTTGATTAATCTGTATTTTAAGATATTACTATTAATAAAAATAACGATTCAAATGAATAAAGTCAGTCCAGCGGGAGAGGGGACGATTTGGACAGACAAAATCCAAAAATTGACAGAAAAGTATTTTAGTTTAGAATTAAAACAACCAGGCAGCAACTGTCACTATCATATCTTCTCTCGTTGAACAGACTATACATACCAGTTCCCTAGTAAACTGAAAACCGAGCGAAGGTAACGATTTGTCATGCAGTTCCCTTTCTTCACATACATCTTCCAACCATAAATGATCAGCTAGTTGAAGTTTAATAACGGCCTTCATTGTTGCATTGGAGCAATTGGTTTCTAAGAATAGCTGAGAGTTGTTACGTGATAACCTTGAAAATGTGTTATCTTCATAAGGAGGTATAAGATTTGCTAAATAAACTTCAAAACCTAAAAAGTTTTATTGTTAGCAGCGAAATTTAAAAAAAAGACTAAGAGATCGTCAACACAATATTGGTAGCGCATTATATGACTAGATAATTCTGTAGTATTCTAGTCTAAGGTTTGATTGTAGTTTGGTTCAACTACTGAATATTATTTCAAAAGTCATACAGCAATGACAATACTCTCAGATAGTGTTGAAATTTATAATTCCTGGCAACGCCAATATTGAGTTAGAATAAAACCTCTGAAGGAACTTGTAGTTTGTACACTTCTATGTTTACATTTATGCTGAACTACTTACACTGTTGTGGAACTTCAATCAGTTCTTCAGGAATTTCACACAATTCCTTTACATCTGTTTTGCAATAGATACCCCTATCCAATAAAAAGACAAGAACAGACTCTTCCTTTTCTATTAATTTGCATCTATAATATTTGCCATCTTCTTTGTACAAATATAAATTATTTCTAACGATTTTAACGGCCCGATGATAACTTTCTTTTCTTTGGAGAACTTCATTTATGTAATCATTCATATCATCATAAACTTTGACGCGCTTTTCTTTTAAGTCAAGGTGTTCCAAAAGTTTAATAGAAGCAGTGGTAGTATTTGTTAGTGTGAGAATTTTAAACTTTATTATGCCATTTTTTGGCAGAACATCGCAAACATCAACATCTTTATTTAATATGTGTCTTTTTGAACAGTTAACTGATGAACACTTTCCAAATATGTTTAAATTTTGGCATAGTTCCACTTTTCTTTCTATTTTAGTATGTTCTTCTTGCACTATAACCATCTAAAAAATAGGCTTATAAAATTACTATCAAAAATAACTAAAACAACTTACATCAAAATAGGACTTAATTTTTTCAGGTAGATATTTTTCTAGGCCAGATTTTTTAATAAACTTGGCAAATTTATTCATCCTAGATTCACAATTTTCATCAACAAATACAATACTACATATATTAGTTAATTTCTGTAATAAATTAATTTTTATATCAATAATAAAATGGACAAATGTACGACTAGAAAAATAAATGTATATTTTAGCCAATAACTATCTTTGTAAATACAATATGATAAAAAAAACGGCGTCAGCGATAACTATGAATGAAGATCGCTCTCATTTCATAATATGTAAAATTATACAGTGTGTCAATTTTAAAACTTCCCACCTTTAATATCTTTCTTGCAGTTAAAAATATGAAAAATCGGAAAGACACGTCAATTTTTTTTGTAAGGGGGACACTTCAAATGAATATTTTTAGCCTTTTTCTTTCAACCCCCTATAAGGAGCAGATGTCACCTTTACAATGGTAAATGGGAATGGGGATCGAGTGGCACATCGTTTAAAAGGGCGTTTAATTCTCTTTTCAGTGGTATCTTACTTTGTCGCTTTTTGTCCAGAGGTTTCCGAATAATTACGTTTCAAAGTTGCAGAAACAATTAAACCTCCCTGCATTGAGATTTTGGTTTTCAGGCTAGTGTTTACACAAAAATCACTATGAATGAAGATCGCTCTCATTTCATAATATGTAAAATTATACAGTGTGTCAATTTTAAAACTTCCCACCTTTAATATCTTTCTTGCAGTTAAAAATATGAAAAATCGGAAAGACACGTCAATTTTTTTTGTAAGGGGGACACTTCAAATGAATATTTTTAGCCTTTTTCTTTCAACCCCCTAGGAGGAGCAGATGTCACCTTTACAATGGTATGTATCTATGGCATCTATGGATGTTCCGCTTACATGCATTGGCAGAAAGAGACCAATTCAGTGGCTTCCAAGATCACCGGATTTAACACCCTTAGACTTAGACTTAGAAAAGCGAATTACAGCAGAATGCCGGTCAATTCTCGGTAAATTTTTCCGAAATGTTAGGGAGGAGTTTGAAAACAGACTTTATTATTGTTTACAAGAAAATAGACATTTTGAACAATTTATAAGATAAGTGGTGTAACCTAATTTTCTAATCATTTGTACTACAAGAAGATCTATTGCAATAATTTTTGTATAAATACAAGTCTGAAAACCAAAACCCCAATTCAGGCATGTTTAATTGTTTCTGCAACAAACTTTGAAACGCGATTGTTCGGAAACCTCTCAACAAAAAGCAACAAAGCAGGATACCAATGAAAAGAGAGTTAAACGCCCTTTAAAACGATGTGCTTCTTGACCCCCATTCCCATTTAAGATTGTAAAGGTGACATCTACCCCTCCTAGGGGGTTGAAAGAAAAAGAGTAAAAATATTCATTTAAATTGTCCCCCTTACAAATAAAATTGACATGTCTTTCCGATTTTTCATATTTTTAACTGCAAGAAAGATATTAAGGGAGGGAAGTTTTAAAATTGACACACTGTATGTGAAATATCATTGATCGTCATTTGCAAGTCAACTGAACGCCTTTTTTTCGATCATACTGTATTAGTTTTAGGAAAAGTTTTAGTTTTGACTGAAATTGTATTCTAATTGACGAAAAAATCAAATATATAAAGTGCTTAGTTCGGATGGTTTTTTATTATTTCAAAAATTAGAATGTGGTAATTGAGAGAAAACCCCAAAACTTTAATTTAAACTTCGTTCAAAAAAAGCAATATTTTCTGATGTAGCTATTGTCTAAAATATACGTAATACCCTATACAGTTCCCTCACCTCTTTTGTATTGAGCGGAGTGGTGATATTTTCCAAAAAACAACTAAATCTTCTGGAAAACTGTGACCAAGAATTTGGTAAAGAATAATGTACTAAAAGTGATGCACTTGTGACTGTAAGCATGGTGTTATATACATTATCTGAACATATTAGAACTGAAAATAATAAAACATTTAGAATGACAGTTTTTGCTTATACAGGATGTGCCAGAAAGTTTACATCAAATGGAATTTTTTTTATATCGAGTTTTTAAAGAAAAAAATTTTGCGGAATTTCAAGAATAGATTAGATTATTTTATAAAAAAAATATAAAGTTACTTTGAATGCGTTAGTTCAAAATTTCTTATTTATATAGAAACCCTAGATAGAAACAAAGTCGACAGCCTAAAAATTAACCACACTTTTAGATATGTATAGAAAATTTTTATGATTTATCAGTACGCCATGTCAAAATTATTTTATTACTGAACATGTTAAAAAAAATTCCCTATAAACTTTTATTCAATAAATCAATAATGAAAAATTCTCTTTTCTTGTGAACTTCTTAGCAAACCCTGTATTTATAGATATACAAATCGCCTAAACAAACCCGAATATTTTCCTGGTGTGCAATTGTTCCAAAGTCCCTCATAATACTGCATATCCTCCTGTGCCATCTCATCTTTAACTGCAATATATTCGATACCTTTGAGCATTAAAAATGTTTCTATATCTTGAATATCCTCGGGATTGCAAATCACTATCGACTTGGTAAATTTATAAACGTCAGAAAGCATTTCTAAAAATTTTCCATAACGTAAAAAGTTATATAAATATCAACACAAAATTAACTAACTTTTTAATTCTTGCTCTTTAAAACTCGTTTCCAAAAATTTCATGGTAAAATTCATTTTAGCATATAACGCTGCTTCTAAATAGTTTCCTATGCACACCAGAGGTGCTTTATTCAGTTTTTTCAAAATATTTTCTATATGTAATGTCCAATGTTCAGCACAGACTATTAGCTGAATCGATTTTGGACAATTCCTGTGTTCCAGTACCTAATAGTAAGAAAGCTAACTTCAGTAAAAATATATATTTATAGGACACTAATGTATTGTCAACTTATATTTCAGAAAATATAGAAATTTAAGAAATACCTAAGGTTAGTATTAAAGCCCCGTCTACACATAACGTTTTACCTGTCACTCTTACCAGTCAAAACGTATCAAGGAAACCCTTGTGCGTAGACAAAAAAAACTGTCCGTTTTAGTTGAACTAAATTAAGACGAAAAACTGTCGTGTTGTATACATTAAAAAAATATAAGTAAATTTACAACAATAATATTAGGTAATATTACACCATCCTTTAATAAGCAATTTTTAGAAATCTAATATTTTCACATAGTTTCAAAAAATATAATAATCTTACTAAATGATTTAGAGATATTTAATGATAATTACCAAACTATACTATCTATCTATAATACTATTTTCACAATTAGCTTTGCTTGTTTACAAATGAAATTTAAGCCATAACTACAATTTTGTATTAAAATTCCATGTTTTCTCCGTTCAACTTCACACACAATGCTTTAATAAATTGATAAAACCGCGGGTAAGACTTCCAGTGTAAGCACTAGTTTATAATAGAAAACAACGGCACAGACTACTACAAACACGTAAACGTTTACGAACGCATGCGCATTTCTTATATTTTTTATACACGTAAAAGATTCTTTACGTCTACGTATACGTGCCAGCAGCGGCCGACTCGACCGTAGGCCGTTGTTCTCTAATATGTCTTACCTGATGGGTACAACGTTATGTGTATACTATGGAGCGTAGAGGTAAGGAGAAATATCTTCGTGCATTAAAAATGGTCATAAAAAAGGGAAGACTTTTAAAATTTAAAATATGCGCCGAAAATTTTTAGAACAGGAAATGAGATAAATATTTGACGTGAAGGCGCGGGTTTCAAAAAAATACAAATTTTATTTTCATGTCACATGAAATAAATTACCGATTTTTATTCAGCAGCAATATTCTGGACCTCTAATATATAAAAATAATTATTTTATATTGTTTTATATTCTATAAAATAAAAACTAAGCTTTTTTTGGGTAATGTTTTTGAGTAAATTATGTTACTTTTATTTTCTTATCTATGGTTACTTTTCATTTTTTAGACTTATGTAAGGATTTATCATATACATATCAAATATAAACAAAAGATGTTATCGTGGAGACTATAATAAAAAGAAGAAAGAATTTATTGGGCAAGTCTACAGTAAGATTAGTCATGAGACATGACTAAAACATGACTACCCGTAGACACTCAGTGTTCCTGCCTTCCGGCTTCATCAATACGGGAGGAATCAGCAACGATGAACTAGCGATCCCGAAAAAAGAAGAAGGGAAGCAAACGAGACACAAAGGCGCCATTTGCAGCCTGGTCATGTTTTAGTCATGTCTCATGACTAGTCTTACTGTAGACTTGCCCAATAAATTCTTTCTTCTTTTTATATCAAATATATACAGATTATCGCCTATCTCTGCAATGTGTTGGAGTTGAAGCCGAGTTAGAGACAACTAGATAACCGGTCCATGTATATTTCACATAAGTTCGTCTGTTAGGCAGATACTGGCGCAACAGCGCAACTCCAAAATTCCGAATATCGATTAACCCTTAGCCCGCGGTTACATTGGACGCGGGTCCGTGCGTTTTTTTAAAGGTGCGAGCTCTGACGGAATTCACTCGCACGACTATTTTATTTTAGTGGTTACATTAGATCCGCGTTCATGGTGTCCTGTGTGTCGAGTTTGTCAAAACGGACGCCACTACTTTGATGCTGTTTGAGGATTTAATGTTAAAATAACTACTTATGAATAGAAGAAAATGTTATGTAAATGATTTATATGCAAGAAAAGGGGAAGAAAATGAATATGTAAAATATTTGGTGAATTAAAACAGCAACCGGTCAAATTTTTTGAATATTTTAGAATGTTTCCAGCGACATTAATATATCTAAAATAAAAATAAACCTGGTATTCAAAAATATTCAAATTTTTCGGGAATATATTGGGCCCAAAGATATAAAAATTCGAACGCTCGGACGTGCACGTATTAAAACAAGCCAGTTTGTTTTCATCCGAACAACGGAAATTGACGTACGTGCACGGACGCGCAAACTCCGATGCAATGTAACCGTCTGCGTAGATACCATTTGTTTGTTTTTTGCTGCGTGCACGTCCGAGCACGTACGACTAAAAAACGCACGGACACGCATCCAATGTAACCACGGGCTTACTCTGAGGATTAGTCAATTGTCGAACGGGAGCGCAAACGAAAGCCGTACGAAGTTTGCGCCACTTTTCATCCGTAAATATTTTACTTCAGCCCGTCAACGGACCCGTTCATATGATATCGGACGTTTTGACACTTTTTTGACAAATTTAATCTAACCTTAATAAAAATATAAGTAAAATAGCAAAATCGTTATGGAAACGAAAAACACCAACGTAGATCCGATAAACGGCGGCATAAAAATGCAATAAATTTAAAAACTGCGTTATTTTCTAACCAATCAGTCTTTAAATTCTACCAATAAAATTAATATCGTATCAACGTATCGTCGGACAACGGATGCATAAAAATCAAGCTTAAGGCGGACGAGCGTCCTGAGAAGTTCCGTCAACTTTTTAGACAGTCTTCCATTTTATCCAACACCAAAAAAACTGAATGCTCAGCCAAACAAATACAATGTTCAGCCATCACTCACCGTTACATCATTGTCAAACATGAGTTTTAGGGTGTGTCTGAGATCAGTTCATATTTATGTTTATATTTTTTAATTTTGACATTGATCGATGTTCGCCAAATTAAATTATAAGCCCAAATCAAATGACAATGCCAATTTCTAAAAGGTAATTTTGACACTGATCGATGTCCGTCAATAAAATTATAACCCCAAATGAAATGACAATGACTAAAAAGAATATGCAGTAATTTACGAAATGACGTAATGACGTCACCAATCTCTTTCATCTGGTTATCAAGCGATTGGGAGAGTTCGACAATATATGACGTGACGGTGAACGATGGCTGAACATTTTTTACTCTAATAGTTAATTACCTTGTCAGCCAAGTCAAAAAATTTATAAATCAAATTTTGGTGCGATTCAAGCATGGTATCGCCATCTTCCAACACAAAATGACAAAGGCGTTTGAAATTTATTGCTCTTAAAGATATCAACGAGCTCAATACAGCTGGCATAGTTACGAGGATTTCAATGTTACTCTGAAAAAGATTTATTGTTGCACATTACAGTTCTTAGATTTAAAAAAAAGTGCAGGGGATAAGTGTATTAGAAGACTTTTAGAACTAACAATATTACTTAAGTTAATAATTATTGTAGCTGAAAAGTATAGCTATACATATTATATGCTGCACCATGAAATTAAGCAATCTATTAAATTATTTGATAAATTTGATCTCTATCTTTACTAATTCAAATTATTATCAACTAAATAAACCTGTTATTTTCCTTCTACTTACCATATTTCCATATCCTGGATATGTGACCAAATTAACTCTACTCTTAAGATTTTCCAGGATCATTCTTATTAAATCATAAATTTTCTCACATCTTTTTGACGTACTGCACAATATAACAACAAAAGGTGCTCCACTGACGTTCATTAACTGGCCATACCTCTCATTTTTTTCCCTAATAAATGAAATCAATATTGGCAGATAAGCCATAGTTTTTCCCGACTTTGCATCGTTGATCATAATGACGTGTTGATTTCTAGTTATTGCCGGAAATGCATATCGCTGTATTTTTTTTGCCAGTTTATAATTTAGTCGACTGATATTTCCATATATGTCTGGGTGAATATTTAAGTTAGAAACCTGCGCTATTGGGTTTGGTATAGCGTCGCTAAAAGTATGTATAATTTAATAAGATACAAAATAAATATAATTTATGAGACAAACCCATGAACTAGAAGTTTAGCGGCAGTTTGTTTTTGTACTGCGGTCATGTTATTATATTCAATGGAAAGAATTTGTTTTCCATCCGAAAGTTTGACATCATCATCTGTTTTGAACAATTTTGGAGGTTTGATAACATCTTCAACTGTAAAGGTAAAAAATTTAGTTTTGAAAAATTTCTGTTATATGCGTATACAGAATATATATTCTGAAATTCTAAAGAATAATATTGTTTACAATAATTCTTATAAATATACAGCATGCTTAGCTGAATACCCTCAGAAATTACCCTCAGTAAATATACCCTCTAAACAGGATGAGTCAATCATATAGAACAATGAACATAACAGAATTAAGGCGGTATTGGACATTGCCCATATTCTATTAATACAAGATACCTAAAACTAGGAATTTTTCTAATATGGTATACAGGGTCGCTGATATGCATGGGAACGGTCGATTACTAAGTAAAATATACGTGGTACTGCAAAAATTTAGAGTTTTTAAATGTCCGTTAGCGAGTAATAAATTTAAGTATACAGGGTCGGTCATAAGGTCGTATATTAGGTTAGGTTAGGTTAGTTAAATATTTCAATTCTTCCTTCAATTCTAAGCAAAAATCGAAATACACACAATGTACCTCAAACCAACCGTTTCCGAGTTATTGAGTTTTGAAAAAATTACTTAAACAATTCAATTTGATTAATTTCAATGTGTTCTGTTTCATTTAACGATGCCGTTCTACGGAAACTGTGATACTTAATAATATTTGACATTAGTTTTCAAGTTAGTATTTATAGATGTATAAAATGAGATTATATCAAGTCTGGAAATTACTAAATTTTCGTTTAATATTTCATAATCAAAAATTCATAATTTGGAAATGGTTGAATTTAGGTACATTATGTGTATTATAATTATTGCTTAAAATTGAAGGAAGAATTGAAATATGCAATAATATACAGAGGGTTGCATTTAAAAATTTTCATGTGCCACAACTTTATGACCGACCATGTATACTTAAATTTACTACTAGCTGCTAGACATTTAAAAACCCTATTACTTTTGTATTTAACTTTTTGCGGTACTTTGTATATTTTACCTAATAGTCGACCGTTCCCTTCTTAGCCGTTCCCATACATATCAGCGACCCTGTATATTAAGTAATTATAATTTAATAAATTGCCACAGAACATAAAAAAACTTGGATTAAATTGAAACTTATTAAAAATAGACGTATAACATACTCAATAAAGGTTAACAGTTCTGTAAAATTGATTGGAAAAAATAAGGACATACAGAGAGTGTCATTTAAAAATATCATGATTTTTTAATTTAAAATAGTATTTTTTTTACATTTTTAAATAGCCTTTGAATCTCACTAAAAAAACAAAACCATTATAGAATTTTATAAAGAACTTGAAAATAACCGTAGAGGTACAGGCTCTCGTCTACCAATCTCAAGGTAGTGGGTTCGAATCCCACACCCGGCATTTCATCAGCCGACTATTTTTATTAAAATAAGAATAGTTTGGGTACCTAGGTCGACTCAGCCTTAAATGAGAACTTGGGATTCACAATCCTGAGATAATAATAGGCGGTTGAAGCGTAGTGCTAGCCACATTACCGTCCTTGTATACCGAACGGCTCTAGTATGGCAAGCTGTACCTTGCTATATTAGAAATTTGCTATATTGGATATTAGAAACTAGGCATATTAGGCATACGTAGAAAGTACCTATAAACTACAAAAATAAATCGCTACTAATTTTCAAGTTAAACCACAGTACTAATATAAGATAGCACACCCTATAATATACACAGTACATCAATTCACTACGTACGTGCGTATTACTGCGTATGTAGCGTACGTTTTTTGGTTTAAAGCTAATTTAACCAAGCAACAGTTCCCGTAGTATGTTGTGTTGCCGGTCCCCGGTCCCGGGTCCAGTGCTTGCAAAGATGCAAAGTACAATGATAATGGTGGATTGTACGTTTCGTACAATAAAATTGTACGACACGTACACCGTACATTGAAATGTATCGTACATTTTGTACGACACGCACACGTACTTCCCATCTCTACTACGTATAATGAATCATATGAAATATCCCCTTAACGAAATGTGATATATCTCCTTATGAAATATCGAGAATATATCCCCCTAACTTCTAAGCCTACCGAGCCTCCACGACTTCATGCGAAGGCGACCGGAGATTTCACCTAAAGCCTGATTTTCATGCATCCGTTATCCGACGACACGATGATACGATATTAATTTTATTGATTGAATTTAAAGACTTCGATTGGTTAGAAACGGTTAACCAATCAAAGCCTTTAAATTCCACCAATAAAATTAATATCGTATCATCGTATCGTCGGACAACGGATGCATGAAAATCAAGCTTTAGCCCCGCCTTAATACGATACAACTCCGACTTACGTCGCGCCGCTATCGCACGATGAGTTAAATCGAGACAGAAGACTGCGGTACGTCGTACATCGACTCTGATAGTAGGCAAGTAGTAACAAAGGCACTCCAACGGTCAAAATTATTTTGTTTTCTAACGCAGCGGCACAGTTTACGCCAGCTGTAGTGAATATTTTAATATACAAGACCACAAATATTAAAATAATATTGATTATTAAAACACACTTCCGTGTATTAACAGTATTTTTATGTATTGACAACATCAATAGTAAATAATGTAATGTAATAAACCGCTTAAATTCTGCCAAAATTTTAGGGTAGGCACCGCCTACCTTGCCTAACCTGACGAGCCGCCACTGTTCAACAGTGGACGCGCATTTCGCTAACCATATTAGTATCAGCAGATGATTAAAAACTAGATTTAATCATCCTCTAATGATGCTAACATGATTAGGAAAATGCGCATCCAGTGTTAGAAGTAAAACATTTTGGTATATTGTAGTGAACTAGTGTTTTATTTTGCTGTTGTAGCTCTATGTAACACAGAATGTTCCAACCTCTATATTTCTTATTTTAATTGTATATCTTAACATTTTCTAAAACTATTGTCAATAGTCTTAGGAAATTATTAAAATCTTGAAATAAATGAGATAAAGGTATTTGCTGTGTCATTGATTTACCATGTAAATATATTATTTTTATACAAAATAACTATTTTGCAAACTACATGTTTACCTGACTTTTTTTCAATTTTTCGTTCCTCAATTGAATGGTCAAAGTTAAGTGGCGAATCCCAATCATCATCTTCATAAACTTTTCTGCAATCTACACAATTGCACCCATTTACCAACTTATAATATTCTAACTTTGAGAATGACTCTGTGTTTATCTTTTCAGAGGACATTGAAGAATCATAATTTTTGGCTGGTGTATCTGATACAATACTTTTTTCTTGATTAGAAATATTCGTTGACACCTATATTAGAGAAAAAAAAAATAGCGACATATGATAGCAAAAAATTCACAAATGAAATGAAAAAAACCGATAGTTCCGATAAAGCTCTATAAAGTCAGTCTAACAAGTCGGGAAAGATTTGACAGACGATATTCTACAAATGACAGAATACACAATTTGCCGGCGAATTAAAATAACAGACACAAATTTCACTGTCAGGGGTTCTCTCCTTAGGCAGACTATATTAGATTTCTAGTGAGATTTGCACACAATCCTTTTTATAAAATATAAATGATCGAATTAAAACGGCGTCCAGTTGGCTTGGAAATGAACATCAATGACGTTCCCCATATAATTTTACATATAAAATGACAGCGATCTTCAATTCATAGCCATATAATGGAATTAAAACGGGATCCAGTTGGCTTGGAAATAAACATCGATGACATTTCCCATATAATTATACATATAAAATGACAGCGATCTTCAATTCATAGCCATCGCTGACCAAGGTTATTAAAAGATAAGGTTGTTCCGAGAAGTGTCTAGCCCTAGCAGTCAACTATTAAGCTTGACCAATCATGTTGGTTAGCGTGGTTATTTGAAGGGTGTTAATTCATTTGTGTTTGTCAATAACTCTAACGTGATTGGTCGGGCTTAATAGTTGCCTGCTAGGGCTAGACACAAGTGTTGTTCCGTAACTCGATCCGCCATTATCGGAAACGTCATCTACTACGTCATAGCAATGCTACCACTCATAGATAAAGGGATAAAAACTGCCGACAGTCTGAAAGTGCATTTCCAAATCGATATTCATTGTGTACTTTATTATTTATAGTGTATGGCGTCTATAATTTTCAGTTGTTTGATGTGTGTTTTCTTTATATTATTGCCCATTTATCTTTATTTGTCGGTTGTGTTTTATTTTTTATTCCTTTATCTATGATTTTATACGTTCTGTAGCATCCCTGTGACGTAGTTGCAGCTTCGCTCCTATTGGTCCAAAAGTTACTAGGCAACCTGTTTTATATACTAACCTTGATCGCTGACGCCGTTTTTTTCTTTTCGGTTATATTGTATTTTATTTTTGCTATTATGCAGGGTTATTTAAACATATTTTCAAACTAAATTACATCCGAAATCACCAATTTCCCATTCGAAAAATACCATAATGTCTAACTCTATACTAAGTGGTTTTTGAAACATTCTGCTAATTCAAGTCCTCTCAAAATTCTAAAAAAGGATGTTCTGTTTAATCCCATTTTTTACTGAGCTAGTATATACCTATGCAAAATACAGTATATATAGTATGCATTTGAAGATGGAGAAAAATACAATATTAAGTTTTGACTCACCCTGTATATACAATAAAATATATAAAGACTCCGACAATATTTCGACAGAATACATAAAAAAAGACAGAAAATTCAATTTACCTGTGTATTAAAATAACGAACAATTGTTGAACTGTTATGTATCCTCTTGCTGGACCATTGCAGGACAGACTTTAGTGTATTTTAGTACACACATTTTTAAAAAGAACACTATTTTGAAGTATTTCCAATTAAAAGATACAAGTAATTTTATATTTTATAATTTCCAGAGAGATAGAGGACTAGCTCAGTAAAAAAAATGCGCAAAAAATTTGGTCTAAAAATGTTCACATTTCAAAATCACTCGGTATAAAATATAACATTATAGTATAGAAAGGAAATTTAAATCTATTTAAAAATATACAACTTTAGTTTAAAAACATATTTGAATCGCATAGTTAACCAATGAAATTGTATAGACAAATTATTTTTGAAATGTGTGCAATTATTTCTTGTACCTATACATTGTAAAAAAGATTAAGTTAAAATCTCAAACCTGATATAAAGCTTTTTTGGAATCACCCTGTGCTCACCTCAACAGTAGGACAATCACTATCGTTATTTAGGGAAGTGGAAGAAACATCCAGATCGTGAGATTTTCTATTTTCCACTGGCTTCTTCTTTGTGGACTTATGGCTTCTTTTTTCACTGGCTTTTTTGTAAGTATGGCTCATTCCAGCAGGTAAAAATATGACATTAGATTTTGGAGATTTTTCCGATGTTACATCCAAAAATGGCGATAAAGATGTATCTACAAAATTTCTTACTGCTTATTTACTTAGTTATAATTTGAGATCATTTTTTACCTTTATCTTCATAATCAGAAATTTTGTTCTCAAAATCTGATTGGGGAGATGTTAATCCTAAAAAAGTTAGAAGATAAAGCTAAATTCTGATAAAAAGTAAATAAAACTCCTGCTGTTAAAGAAATTTATTGATATAAAAACAAACAAAAGAAAAAATATATTTCAAATATCAGAAAAAAGTAGTAAAAAAAAATAACAACATATTGTATGTTATAACAACAAATCAAATTAGAATATACTTTTTACTATAAATTACCACATTATAGCACTTACATACCTTCACTTTCTTTTAATTTACTTTGTAACAGTTTTTGCTTCATTTTAAAGTCGGCAAGTTTTTGCCTTAATATTTCGACATTACTTTTTGAGTTAGTTTCACCAATTTTATTTGGCAATTTATCATTTTTGTTAGATATTTGTTCGACATTTTTTAAGTCATCTACAGCTCTTTTTGAATTGCTGGTATGTTCATTTGATATTGAAAAACAAGAAGAATTTTCTTTATCGCTTTCAAACACATTACTTTTGGCTAATTGTATTTCCCCGTTTTTTGTTAAAGACAAGTTTTTTACACCACTATCTTTCGTCCTAAATATATTACGCCTTCGTCTACCATTTCCAAGAGGTTCATCACTATCTACTTCATCATCTAAGTCTAGTAACTCTGTATAATGTATCTTCACAGAATTCACTTCCTCATTTTTGTACTTGCAAATGGAAAAATGTTCAGTAGTATGATAAATCATATCTAAATTGTTCTTCATATAAATTGTTGCTTTGTATTTCAAACCTTTAAATATTAATAATTAGAAGGATCACTTTAAAATAAAAGCAACTTACGTTCAAAAATATCCTCATCATTTATGACTAATCCTTTTTTCATTAATTCTTCTGAAAGTTTAAACTCTTGATTGTCCTTATAAATTATAAGTTCTCCAATTAAAATATGATCATAATGGTCTTCAATGTCAAAACAAAGTTTGGTAGCTCCAGAAAATAGACTTAAGCAGTACTCTAATACTGATGTGGATGGTATAACTGAAGGAATACACTTAATTTTCCCAGTAGCACCCATTTCTAAATTCTAAAAGTATGAAAAAATTACTTGCTAAGTTTTAATATGTGATTTTGTTACTCACGTCTTTGCTGTAACCAATATTATTTAATGAAGCTTGTTTTGCCTGTGGAGTAACTTTCTGCAATTCGAAAGGCAATTTAAAAACCCTGTATGTTTTTGTTAAAATCCCATAATCAAGAAGCCAGCAATAATATAACTGTTTATCATTCTCCTCAGTTATATTTTGTATGGATGCTCTAACTAATCCATGCTCATGGTGTACAGCTACAATCTGACAAAAACCATGTAAAACTATGATATTCAGATTAATATTTATACTTACTTCATCAATACTAAATGAAACATTTTCAAGGCTCACATTAACTCGGTCGTTAATTCTTGTGGAAAGTTGCTTTAAAAAATTACATCTATGTTCTTTATTCCTCTCGATTAGAAAAAAGAAATGCGGAGTTATAAAAGTTGCTATATCCACTTCCATTAGGTTCATTTTTATTCGGTCTTCAAGTAACACCTCTTGATTATTATTGTTTATTAGTTATTGAAAAAAGTTAGAACATAAATGAAAAGAACAATGAAGACGCGTTTTACTAACATAAATGTATAATTACTCTGATAATTATAAGGCTATCGATCGCGTTTCACACTTCGTTTGCGTTTCACACTTCACCAAATATATTTGAAATCACAGATCACCGTATATGCAGATGATGCAGATCACAGACAAAATAAATGCATAACCTTTGTGCATAACATATGCTTTGTGCATAACAAACCAGATGGATCAAAACGGTCAAAAACTGAAGACCAGGGAATAGATATACACCATACAGAAGCGACAAAGAGATTTGCTTCAAAATTTTTAGGAGGGGGTAATGCTGGTTAACTGTCAAACGTGACGTCAAAGAATTATACACCAAAAAAAAATTCACGACCGCAGGTCAGGGTTCAGAAAACTACATGTTACTTTGAAAAACTACATAAACTACATTACATGTAGTTAATGTAGTTTATGTAGAGGGTGTAGTTTATGTAACTTATGTATGTAACTTTCAAATGTCAAAGGTTTGAGGTGAGGTTATAATAAGTTGAAGCTTTAAAAACACATAATGTATTTAAGAAAACAGGAGAAATATGGTTTTAAATATAATATTTACATCATATTATCTCTATTACACCTCATACAAAGGAAAATTATTCATAATATCAATACATAGTTTATTAACGTAGTTTTCATGTAGTTATGAACGGAAAAAGACGTAGTTTTTGAAGAAAAACTACACGTAGTTAATCAGGTAAATTACGTCTTAATTAACTACTTCCGAACCCTGCCGCAGGTATAATTATTTCTAGATATTATGCATAAAAGACTGAAAAATATATTTCATAATTATTTATTTATTTTAATTCTAAATAAAAATACTGATTTAAATCCCTCTAGTTTTTAAAAAATAAATAAACCTGCCTTTCATCATTTTCTATTAAAATCTTACAATTTTCTTTCAGTGTGAAATGCTGTTCAAGGCGCACGGATGTCAAACGTGACGTCACGCAATTAGTTCCCATTTGACCAATGCTATTCAAAGCTCTTTGTCGCTTCTGGTACTACGCCGTGTGCCGGTTTTTGAACAAACAACAATCCACAGCAACAAACAAAAGAATGAGGTTAGCGGCGTTGCCAATGTCAATTTTCTAAACTACCCAAAAATCTAAAATAAATTCGCCAATTTGGGGAGAAAAATGTCCCGATTTACCAAAAATTCCCCATATGATTATTTTAACAAAAAAAAATAATTTTAATAAAAATACAATATTTATTATACATATTAGAGGGATTAAACTGTAAATTGACTCCTTGTTTTTTAATCCCTTCCCTAGTAGTCATTAAATAATTTGAGGTCACTAAATTTTCTTTCAACTGAAGCATTTGCAAAGGGAAGCATAAGTAAAAAGCAGATTATAATTTTTAAGTTGGGAAAGATATAGGTATCGTCCCGCTCCGTTTTTAAAGCTAAAAATTTTACGCCATTTTCAATCAGCAATAAAATGTTGAAACTCCCCTTATTTTCGCCGCCTATTGCTAATCCCCACAAAATTCCCAATCGGCTCCGGATTCCCCAAAATTAGGGAAATTCCCCACAAATTGGCAACGCTGGAGGTTAACGTGTTCTTTCTGAATATGCTAAGACTAACGGACTAGTGTCGAAACACAGATAGCTAGATGGACGTATTTCGGCACTTGCGTCGATGCGCTACAGGACATTTGCCTGCGCGTCGTATGTCTTCTGGCAGTCTTTTAATTTTTCTGATCTGTTTGTCTATGCTATGGAACCACCTTTAACTTTAACCTATGTTTTTATTTAATATCAAATATAAAAGCAGATAAAACTGGCAATTGCCCAGTAGCACAGAATATCTAGCTACGCAACAGAAGCCTCGTTACATGTATAAAATCGTAGGTAGCAAAAGGAGACAGGCTTTAAAAGCCTGTCTCCAAATCAGATATTTTGATGTGGTAGTTTCACTACTACATAACAGAGGGCGATAAATTTAAAAGAAAACAGTTTTCTACAAACGAAATTTAAAAGAATTTTATGCAGTGTTGCCATTGTGTAATTTATATTGTAATACTTCCTGATAAAGCCTACATTCAAATTTGCTACATCATTTAAACATATTAAAATAGATTAGAGCTCTTTTTTTCAAACGTTTAAGTATTTAACTTGCCATGTTAGTTGGAGTTAAATCTTACGAGCTGAATTAAAATCACTTCCTGACGTTTGATTCTAACTGAATCCTGAATTTTGATTGTAATTCGGCGACAATATAATAAGTATTGTTCTACTATTATGACACTACTTCCTGACGTTCGATTGTGTTCATACCGTATGATCGGGAAAAAACGGCGTTAGCGATGGCTATGAAATGAAAATCACTGTCATTTTATGTGTAAATTTATATGGGAAATGTCATCGATTGTCTTTTCCCAGCCAACTGGATGCCGTTTTTTTCGATATCATACGGTATTTGATATATACTTGCGTATTTTTCATGACATTGCAATATTATGGTACCATGGAGCATATCAAGTGATACCGTAATATAGTACCATATTACGATACATAGCGTTCGATTGGGCTTAAACTTGGTATATTACGTATCTTCAGTGATATTGCAAGCATATCAAGAGGCACCATAATAGTACCATATACGATACCATTTCCTAGCGTGCGATTGGACTTATACTTGGTATATTAAGTATCTTCGCTGACATTGTGATATGATGGTACTATGATGCATATAAAGTGGTACCTTAATATAGTACCATATTACGATACCACTTCCTGACGTTCGATTGGGCTCATATTTGATTATACTTGCGTATTTTTGATGACATTACAATATTATGGTACCATGAAGCATATCGAGGGGTGCCATAATGCAGTACCATATTACGATACCAATTCCACCAGTTCGATTGAGCTACTTTGTATACTACGTATTTTCGGTAACATCGTAATATAGAGCATGCACCATGGAGCATATAAATTGGTCCCTTCTATAGTACCATATTAGATACCACTTCCTGACGTTCATTTGGGCTCATATTTGATATATACTTGCATATTTTTGATGACATTGCAATATTATGGTACCATGAAGCATATCAAGAGGTACCATAATAGTACCATATACGATACCATTCCTGGCGTTCGATTGAACTTGGTATAGTAGAGTATCTTCCGGTGACATTGTAATATAATGGTACTATGATGCATCTACTATGATGCATATATAAAGTGGTACCTTAATATAGTACCACATTACGATACCACTTCCTGACGTTCGATTTGGCTCATATTTGATTATACTTGCGTATTTTTGATGACATTGCAATATTATGGTACCATCCCATATAACACAACACAATCCTATAGATATCTTGAGGATATCCACCAAGGATATAGTAAATATCTTAGGGATATCCAAAAACCAGAGGAGGATATTTATGGGATATCCAAGTGGGACAAAAAAAGTCATCTTCAAGACATCCCTAGGCAAGCCTTTTACGATTATTTAGGATATTTCTAGGATAATACAAGGATGATGTTGGGAGCATTATAGAATATTTTTAGGGCATTATATGAGGACTGTTATTTGACAATACTTACTTCATCCTTAGTTTATAGTAAAAACGTTTGCGATTTAGTTTTATTTAGCCACATTTTGACGTTATTCATTGGATATTTTTATTAACAGCTCTAAAATATACCTACATATTATGTCAATGAATTTTGCGTCAAAATTTAGAAGTTTATTTGTATGAGTTAAGAGCTTTCAATTTATGCTGTACCATCGAAAAAAAACGGCGTTCAATTGGCTTGAAAATTACGATCGATGACATTCCTCCTATAATTTTACGTACAAAATAACAGCAATCTTCATTTCCAAGCCACCTCTGACGCCGTTTTTTTCGATCGTATGGTATTATACCAGATTATACTACCCTTTATGGAGTTTAGCAGTTTATGTCTAGCAGCAGAGCTAGCAGCAACAGTTTACATCAAAGTTAGCACACAGGATACAGGTATAATTTCTAACACCACACATTCCAGAAACTCACAATTTAAACCCAAAAATAGGATTTCTGTTTGAATAGATCAAACACGAAAATGGGTTTAGAGATAAAGAACAAGCGATTTTCAACAAATTTTCACCTATAATTTTGTCACAAATTCTTCATTGTGAGAACCTGAGTTGTTCGTCGTTTTTTCGACATTAGTTGAGGTTAGGATAGAATTTCTGCTAGAACAAGGCTAGAACTATGAGTATAAGAAAAAAACTAAGTCAAACTCAACCAGTTTTGTTAGTTTCAGTCATTTTTAAGCCCATCCAATATCGACAAACGACCGAATTCACCTCGAATTTCACTAAATCAAAGAACTGAATAATACACGATGCAAAAACCATCAAAACTAAACAACTGTCGAGATGGACTGTGGGAAATTTTTTGCGCGGGCGTTTTAAATTCTCTGTATTACTGGGAGTGGCCAACCTCATAAATATCCAGATTATCCAGAAGATACCAACAGGATATTTTGTTGCCTTGACGTAATATATATATATATATCTATCTGTATGGTTTATTGCATTTTATGTAATATAAAAAGTAGTACATTATTTATTTTTCCTAAATATCTAGACGATATTGTTAGGATATTTTATTATCATGAGCATGTTTGGATATCTCAGCTGGATGTACATTAGATATACGACAGAGACATCCATAGGATATTCTATTCTGAGACATCTATAGGATTTCAGGATGTCTGGAGGATATCCTATAGATGTCTTTATAAGATGATCTTATAATGGGACATTCCGACATTCTATGAATATCCTGCGGATATTGTGTGTTTATGGGATGAAGCATATCAAGGGGTACTATAATGTAGTACCATGGTACGATACCATTTTCTAGCGTTCTGATTGGGCCCAAATTTGATGCTTGTGTTTCTTTATAAAGATTTGTTTAATTAATAATTTTAATTTATTTTATGAATTTTAATTTATTGTACGATGTCGTGACAGCAACTTTTATGCCGAACTAATATATTATTAATTGTACCTGTGTCACTTTTTAAAATCTATCTAGGTCTATATAAATAACGTGGCAAACAGAAAAAAATTGTTATTATAGCATTTTTTTAGTCAATTAACCTTTTTTGTACTGCATTTTAATAAATCATTTCCATTATTATTAAACGTATATTTCATTACTAACGTTTCAGCATTAATAAATATCACTATCAATTGCCCTGTATATTATTAATTTTAAAGGTAGTTAAAGTTATTTTCTTAGTTAACATAATAAAGTAGTGTATATTAAAAATGCATTTTGAGAGTATATGTTTTCTAATAATATACATAAAATTAAAACTATTTTAAAAGCCAAACGAATAATTAATATAAGTGTATCTGACAAGAAACGAAGAATAGAAAGAAATTATTATACACCAAAAAAAGAATGGGATGCCAATTAAAGTCTGTTTGAATCTTGGCAACTGTGCATTTTAGTTGAGCTTACAAGGTCGTCGACGTGCCGTCGATCTACGTCGATCCAAAACCGAAAGTTGAAAATTTCCAATTATATTCTGATTATCTCTGCTGATTATGATATTGTCGCGCCATCTAGTATTTTATTTGTGCAATTTTAGCTCTTTCATTTCGAGTATTTTTCTGTTGCGTAGCTAGATATTCTGTGCCAGCATGGTACAAAGAATACAAGGTATGATATTGCGCAGGTTGGTCGCTACGTCACAGGTGATAACAGGCGCTATTGGTCAGCACGCTCCGCGCGCCAGTTCAAATCGTCAAGATATTGTTATAAACCTGTTTTTTTGTTTATATACCGTCATTGAATTATCGCTAAGCAAGTTACTGTGGAGCAGTGCATAAGGAGTCGGGCTAGGAAGCGCGAGACCGGAGTTCGAATCTCGGCCGGAACATCACTTTTATTTATTTTTTTAAATACTGTTGTATTCTATAGTTTATTTTTGTAGTATAAAAAAAGATCTATTTATTCTGTTATTTTTTAATCTCCGTTATTAATATAAATTGATTGCTAGTACAATACCTCATTTAAATAAAATAATATTCTACTTTTTGAAATGTTTTGGGCCCTAATTGTACCTAAAAGTAATATATTTTTAGTGATATACCATATTGTAAACTATTTAATATTTCAGTCACTTAAAAAGTTAATTTGCATTGAATAATTGCCTACATTAAAGGAAATTTGAGCTATATAATCCTTGATGGGCATATTCTGGGTATGCAAATACTTCCTTTAAATTTTGGGTGTCGTTCAACCGATTTATTCTCAAAACCAGAAACTTCTACATATAAAAAGAAGCAGAGGTCACTAATTATAATAAACTTCACCCTTGGTATTACTTCCACTAATTATAATAAACTTCACCCTTAGAATTACTTCTATCACAATTACAATACGTTCATCTGCATTGGCATTTTCTACTTTTCGATGGGAAACAATAAACTTCCCAATATTTTTTAAATGATGTAACAATTCCTCTTGTGGTTACTTTTCCATAGATATCCTCAACTCTGTCCTCATGTGAATTCAGAGGCAATGAAAATGAAAATTATTTACCATAAACATCGCAAACTAAAAACCTAATAAACAATTTTATACCGAATATAGAAATAAATTCAGTATTCTTACCTATCGTCCAAATCCATGTTAATAGATAATTATTATTTTTAAATATATTTTTGGAACTGCTGGTTTTAGTAATTATTAAATTAAACGAACTAAAAAGTCTTAAATACAACAATTCTTAACCATAACCCGTCGAAACACAGATAGCTAGATGGACGTATTTCGGCACTTGCGTCGATGCGCTACAGGAACATTTGCCTGCGCGTCGTATGTCTTCTGGCAGTCTTTTAATTTTTCTGATCTGTTTGTCTATGCTATGGAACCACCTTTAACTTTAACCTATGTTTTTATTTAATATCAAATATAAAAGCAGATAAAACTGGCAATGGCCCAGTAGCAAAGCCAAAACCGAGACAAGACAAAGCAGATAAAAGTTTCTGTATTTTTTTTTATGAAAGCAATTCAAAGTGATATTTTATGGGATATATCAATATCTTTTAAGCGAAGTGTTAGAAGTGATAGAACCTAATTTTACCATGTTTGTTCTAGCCGAAATGAAAAATGTAACCAGAATTTCTCCTGAATTATTTAATCTAAATTTAAATGAAGCAGTTGCTGGAGAATTAAATAAGAAACTTGCAAATAAGGTACCTGCTGTAATTCGACATGTTTTTGCTTGTTTATGGTAATCATAATACTAAAAAACTATTATCTTGCAGGTTCTTTTAAATGTCGGCCTTTGCATAGCTCTGTTTGATATTACCAGTATTCAAGACTCTTTTATTATACCAGGAGATGGGGCATCACATACAATTGTTTATTTTCGATATATAGTATTTAGACCTTTTATGGAAGAAATATTAATTGGAAAAATTAGGAGTTGTAGCCAAGAAGGAGTTCACGGTAGGTATAGTCCTTATATATTTACCTAAATTTTTACATACTTACAAAAATATACATTAACTTCTAATCTTATATTATTTATGTCAGTCTTTAATTGTATTTGTATTACTGTGCCATCATTAATAATTACATTATTAATAATATTATTTCAAGTAATTCTTGTTTAAGTCACAATGGGATTTTTTGATGATATTTTAATTCCTCCAAGTGCTTTACAACACCCATCAAAATTTAATGAAACAGAACAGGCATGGGTATGGGAGTATGACACTGGAGATGGTAGTAAACATGATTTGTTTATGGATTCTGGAGAATCTATAAGATTCAGAGTTACGGCAGAAATATTTACAGAAACTTGTCCAGCTGGCCCTAATGGTATTCAAGAAGCTCAGGATATTACAGAAAGTAAAGTCCCTTACAGCTTAATGGTAGGGATTTAGTAAGGTGATATTATTCTTGATTTATTTGAATACTGGCTTTTATTTTAGGGTAGTATAAATGAGCCTGGTCTTGGTCTCTTATCATGGTGGGATAATTAGAACTTAAATAATTATAATATATGAAACTTGTGATAATATTTAAGAAACCTCATATTTATATTAATAAAAACAAATTTCATCTAGAAAATATCTATTTTATTGGCAAAAAAATTATGTACAATAACTATTAAAAAAATCTAAAAGTAACACTTAAAAAGTTTGTGGGTATCAAACAGCAGTTCAAAATAATTACAGGTACTTAATGACATCTTAATGATTATTGATAAGTAATAATTAAAATTGCACACAATGCCATCTTTAAAAATATAAGTAGAATATTCACACTATTGATGGCACAAAAAAAATATTTTATTATTAAGTAAATAAGTGTTCCTTATCCATAATTCTGAATAGAAACGGAATTGAATTTTAAACTCATTATTGCACAGTATAAATATTAAGAATAACAATTAGTGGACAAAATTCTGAAAATTGCACAATCAATGAGCATATGATGTCATATATTTAAATCTTTGAGGACATTTACTTCTGGGTTGAAAATATTTATAATTTACATTCAACATCATTTTGTATTCTTACATGTCATTATGTCATTATTAAAAAATCCGGAATATAACTTAATTCCGGATTTTTTGATATAGCTACAATAGATTTGGAGAAAAAGATGTTAAACAGCATTGCAGAAAATCATAACATATGAGTACCTATTTCACCTGTAAAAATTATTATATTTGTTTTGATTTTCTGTAGAAATTGTATTTCTTTTACACTGAACAAGAATCTATAAATGTTAAAGTAAAGCCCCATGTAATTTAATTTAAGCTGTTTGCAATCTGAGATTCGTAATTATAACAAATTTTAGTAACCAAATATTCATTTACTATTTTATTCAGAAAATGTAGCAAAGAACTAGGTAATTGTATACACGTTTGGCAACGATCGGCTTTGGATCCCAATTTTCCTGTTTAAGAAGAGTACAATGAAAATAGGTATTATACGAAGCTATTTAAAATACTCGGTTCAAAACTGAAAAAGTAAAATATTGCGCCCATATGAAAAATGTAGCTGATAGTTCTAGAAAAGAAAAACATCACATGTGATTTTTCACGCCACCAAAAGATGACACCCAGAACTTTTCTTTGAGAATTTATTTGTACGTTTTTTGGCTGTTGTTTTGTTAGTATATGGTTATTACCGTAGTTATTACCTATATATTAGGTATTGTTGACTTATTTTTAGAGTCGCTTCAACGAGAAAGAGTCGATTCCAACAGACGATATTTAAAAAATGACAGACAATTGCCACTATCGTATTTTTTCTCGTTGGACAAAGATTCTGGAATAAAGTTTTTCAACTTTTTCAAGGGCCAGCTAGGCATCAGCTAGGTGCCAGCTGATGAATGGCTTACTTTGAAGTCCATTTTATATATACCATTCTACCTTTTTCTATCTACAGATATTCATGTCTCTGTCTAATATATGTAAACAATAGTAATTTATTTTATATATTGAGTTTTCAGAAATATATGCGGAGATCAGAGATTTACAGCTTGTTATTGAATAAGCTGAGAAAGTAGTATATGAATATTTAGTGAAAAAAATTACAGATGTTTGATCAGTATAGGTATGCTTGCCACGGGTATAGATGCCTATACTGTGGTTCTACTTTCCTAGTCCTATTTTTTCTCTATAGAATTCAAAGTTTTACACTAATCACACAAGAATATGGATATTTTACAACCTTTGACAAGAGAAATCACATTAAGGTGCTGTTCTCAGTCTTAAGAATATGTTTTTAATGCAAAAGTTACACTTCTAAACAACTAAAATATAGCACAACATATTTTTGTTATTAATGACTAATTTTCAGTTTCCAATGGGGTAGATACTTCTTGAGCACTCTATTAAATAATATATAAATATATAAAATTGCTTTTTGATTTCTATAAATCAAAAAATGGAGTAGGTAAAAGTACATTATTAATATATATTTTATTCTATTACGAGGCAACGCGGAAGATGTTCTTTTAAATAGTCGAAGAGTTCTCTTGAAGCGCCAGGGCAATTGGTAAGTTCTAGCTCTTTCATGTGTCGAAGCTGTATTAAACTCGATAAACCGTTAGAAGTTAGAAGTGGACACCCTGAAAAAATATTAATCCAGTATATCGTATTGATTTAAAAAAAAAACTAAGGCCCGTATTTATAGTCGAGTCTCAAACCGCGACCCCAGTCACGAAATGCAAAAGACCGACAAAAATAACAGACGTACGTTTCGTCGCCCGTATACACGCGCCTAGTAAGCCTGTTATTTTTGTCGGTCTTTTCGGAGATTCAGTTCGAGACGCGACTAAATACGGGTCTAACGCTTCGTCCTACTAAAGACAAACAAAACTGACTTTTCGCTTCGTCTTACGTGGGCGACAAAAGCGCGCAATTCGGGCGATTCGACCGATACGTGTTTTTTCAAACAACGTTTTTTATGAAATCGTCCTAAGTAGGTAATGCAGGACACTTTCATAAGCATAGATAACAGAGCTAATTCGTAAGTTCCATAAAAAATTATTCATTGTTCATAAGAAGATGTTTTTTGATAACGTTGCGTCGCCCGTTTTTGTCGCCCACGTAACGCTTTGTCCTACGTGGAAGACAAAAGCGAGCGGGCGACGCGTGCGACAACAGAGGGCGATGAGCGCGACTCGCGCGACATATTTCAATCGCATCCGATGCCGCTTCAGTCGCGCGCATATCCTACCTAGGACAGCTTCGTAAGAAAACGTTGTTTGATAAATAGGCGACGCTCGAATCGCGCGCTTTTGTCTCCCACGTAGGATGAATTTTACGAAAGGGTCGTTAACGGTTCGTCCTACGTGGGAGACAAAAGCGCGCGATTCAGGTGGTGCGAACGACGCGTATTTATCAAACAACGTTTTCTTACCAAAGCTGTCCCATGATACAAAGAATACAAGGTATGATATTGCGCAGGTTGGTCACTACGTCACAGGTGATAAACGGCACCATTGGTCGGCAAGCTCTGCGCGCCAATTTCAAATTGTCAAACAGATTGTGTCATCTGTAAAATTTGATTGTGTCAAAATGTAAAAATAATTTTTCAAATGTCAAGCTCGATGTCAAAACATAACTTTTGGGGTTATGTCCTAATTCTTCCCTATTTTGGGTCTTTTTTTATTAGTGGCAATTGGACAATATGGATATTTTTTTTGTATGGCGTATGACGTCACAGGTGGTATGCGCAAACTTAACGAAATTGGAGCCGCTATCGATCATACCTTGTTTTCTTTGTACCCTTTAGTGTGTTCTGTGTTTGTACCATGAAGCTGTCCTAGGTAGGAGATTGGCGCGACTGAAATATGCGGAGGCGATTGATCATTGCCCTCTGTTGTCACACGCGTCGCTCGTTCGCTTTTGTCTCCCACGTAGGACGAAGCGTTACGTGGGCGACAAAAACGGGCGATGCGAGCGACGCGACGTTATCAAAAAACATCTTCTTATGAACAATGAATAATTTCTTATGGAACTTATGAATTAGCTCTGCTATCTATGCTTATAAAAGTGTCCTGCATTATCTACGTAGGACGATTTCATAAGAAAACGTTGTTTGAAAAAAACACGTATCGGTCGAATCGCCCGAATCGCGCGCTTTTGTCGCCCACGTAGGACGAAGAGTAAGAGTCAATTTGAAGAATAAAATAGTCAGTTTTGTTTGTCTTTACTGTTGACAAAAATTTATTTTGGTGACTTATTTGGTGTGCGCCTTTCTATTTTTATAGTATATATTTTATTGTTTATCTTATACTTGATTTTATGCCAGTTTATAAATCAGGAAATCTATTGCGTCAGAACTTGAATTACAATGAGGTTATGGCGAATTTTTATTAGAAAGATGCTTTAAGCTTTATTGTATCTATATTTGTGCAGCGTGCGATCGTTCCCAGGAAAAAATACGAAATATAAGGGAAAATAACAATTTTTAACCAGTAAATTATTACTAGTAATAAACAAATTAGGAAATTCGTTTAGAATAGTTTAAAAATGTTTTCACACTATGTACTTTAAACTAGGTACTTCAATTATTATTCCTTCCCAGAACTTCCTTACCTTCCCAGAAATATATATTTTTTTGTTTTAATTTGTGCCCATCAGTTAGTATATTATAGGTAATAAACAATTAATAATATTATTTTACTACATACGCACCTGCTAAAGACAATATTTGTAAATTTCTCATTCCACATAAATGTTGCAGTCCGATATCCCTAATTTGTGAACACCATCGTAAGTATAACGATTGTAGAGATAACATAGTTGATATATAGCCTATACCTATGTCAGTCACGTGAACACACCTGAAACATAAAATATATACGAATTATAACAAAAAAATGTATTATTCGATGCCCTAAAAAAAGAAATGGTGTATCGCTTAGTTTGTTATAAGGTCAAAGGTTATTACTTTTTTTGATAAAAAGGTATTAAAGCGAAAAAAGAAACGAACATCTCTTTTTTGGGTATATTATATTTATAAAATGATTTTTGTATACAGCACAGCTGTCCATTCTGTAGCACATTGTAGCATGTAGGGGCATCCCTAAGGGGGGACACGATATTATCTGTTACCCTTTAATCGATGTTTCTCGTAAAAAAAATTAGTCGACGCGTCCTATAAATAAAAATTCGACAAATTTGCAAGTAGTCAATGAAATAAGTGGGCGGAGTGTTTTGCGGTGACATACACACGTCAAAAGTCCACGTGGACTATCTGCCGCTTCTATATAGGAGCGATTTATAAAACACACGGTCGCTGATATGTATAATAATACTAATGCTCATAAAGACATTATGTGTATTACGATTATATATCTAAATTCAATAATTTCCGAATCATGAAGTTTTGATTTTGAAATGTTAAACGAAAATTTTGTAATTTCCAGACTTGATATGATCTCATTTTATACATTTATAAATGCTAACTTGAAAACTCATGTCAAATATTATTAAGTATCACAATTTCCGCAGAATTGCATCGTCAAATGAAACCGAACGCATAGAAATTAATTAAATCGAATCGTTTAAGTGATATTTTCAAAAGACAATAACTCGGGAACGGTTGGTTTGAGGTACATTCTGTGTATCTCGATTTTGGCTAAGAATTGAAGGAAGAACCAAAATATGCAATAATATATCTGCAAGTTAAGTTAGTAAAATGACTTAAATCCATTTTATTTCCCTCCAAGTCAAGACAACCAGAATTCAATTTAAATACCCATTTTTTAAATTTTAATTTTCTTGTATTATTCATTCATTACCGATTTTTTTATTATCTATATTAATTTATTGTAGATACAGATTAGAATAAAATATTATATAAACAACTATAATAAACAAAAAAAATAAACGCATCAAGGACAGAAAAACACACATAAAAACATCAACTTAAATAAAAGAAATTTCGTGGTACTTTGTACAGGTTGTCGCATTTTTGTGTGTTTCACAGGGTTTCTCTCGCACCCCTGGGGTCCGCGAGTATGTGTATGGGGGTCCTACGTCTTATCTATGAACGTTTGATTTTTTATAAAAATGTCATTTTTTCTTGTACTGAAATAATTTGTCCTAATATTTCTATGTTTTTTTTTTTAATTAGGGCGGTCCTTGAAATTGTGCTTGATTCTTTAGGGGTCCGCGAACTGAAAAAGGTTAAGAAACGCTGATGTAGTTGATAAATGTATAGGGTGAGTGGGAAAGTGGAAAGTTCTTGGGAAACAGTTTACCGTTCTTGGGTTATTCCCATGATACAAAGAATACAAGGTATGATAATGCGCAGGTTGGTCACTACGTCACAGGTGATAAACGGCACCATTAGTCGGCAAGTTCCGCAGACAGATGACACAATAAATGTGAAAATAATTTTTTAAATGTCAAGCTCGATGATTTGACATAACTTTTGGGGTTATGTCCTAATTCTTCACTATTTTATGTCTTTTTTTTATTAGTGGCAATTGCACAATATGGATATTTTTTTGTATGGCGTATGACGTCACAGGTGGTATGCGCAAACTTAACGAGATTGGAACCGCTATCGATCATACCTTGTTTTCTTTATACCATGGGTTATTCCACTGGTCGACTTTACCAACAAAAAACCTTTCTTCATGTGCATTAGATTATATTTTTACCTATCAAGTGTTAGTTCTTCTAATTGATTAAGGTCACAAGCTATATACTCCAAGGCAGCATCGGTTATTCTAGGACACCAGGATAAATCCAAGGAACGCAGTTTTTGCAGATTTTCAGCTATAAGCTCGACTCCGTCGTCAGTGATTTTACTGCAGCCCGAGAGACTTAGGACTGTCAAGTTTGGCAAGGAATGAACTGAAAAGAGAAAGAAATTGTTATTAATTGATATTTTAACGAAAAAATAAAGTTCTTGAGAAGGCAAGTTTTTAAGAAATGAACTCACCACAAATGTAAATTAACATTTAAAAAAATATTTTATCACAAAGTCTATATAAATTAGTGTTTTTGGTTTATGAATTAATAAAGTTCTTTAACGAATTTAAATATCTTATTCTGCTTTAATTCTGCACCTTTTTAATTGTTTTAGTGTTGGCAACCCTGTATCGATCATACCTTGTTTTTGGATTTTTATGTTTGAGCAAGTTAGTGGATCGGGATGATTTTTTTTAATCAGCCTCCTTTCAGATCACTTTACATAATTCTAAGATATGAGTAAATATATTTCGATAGTTTCAGAGATATTAATAAATAAATAATTTATAATAAAATAATAATATAGACAGTCTAATTTAAAAAAGGCGTCCGTTATTCTCAAACAGACCTGGTTTATAAGTTAAACACAGAAGAAAAATCAGAATATTACTGTGATAAAATGTAACTAGGCATACAATTTTAATTGTTTGATGCCCAAGTTAAGGACCGTAAGCTCAAGAATACTCGTTCAACCTTCAAAAAAATATATATCTATTTTCCAAAGAATACCATTATCGAAAAAGAAATATATAATACGTATGTCTATTGACAACATAACACAATATTAATTATTCTACTTTTTAGTGCTAATTATTACTTAAAAAAGCTTGACGTATATAATAAAATAATTTAGTTAAAAAGCAAAAAAAGGTGAATATTTAAACATCGATTTTATACATAGGCGTTTTAAATCAATTTAACTTTTGAAAGTACTTGCAGTTAAGTCATATCAATAATTTGCTTTTAAAGCTTTAGTTTTGCTTGACTGAAACGTGTTCTTGCGTTCATTATTCGTTCAGTCTTACTGAATCAGTCAGACTTTGAGTCAGACTGCATTGAAAATCCGTGACACGTGAAAACCCGCCTTTAATTGTTCACTGAGCGCAAAATATAAAACTGTAATAAACCTACTAGTGTACTAAAGCTTTCCAGACACCTTTATTGATATTGTCGAGTTCAGTGCTCTTCTCTATAGTTACAAGATTCTCGTATCGAATAACGTTAAAATAGATATAATTATACCGGGTGCGTCTCGAAATTGGTTCACCCCTATAACTTTTTTATTTTTTCAGCTAAAAAAACGAGATTTGGTATATTAGTATATGACATAAATTAGGATTGATTAACGTATTCAATTGTCTTTGGTCACTTCCTGTTTCACCGGAAATTACTACAACTTTTGATTTTTAAATGGCACCCTCGGTATTTTTTTACTTTATTCCATAGAAAATAACACTCTGAATAGAATGACATATCATATGTAAAGTTTTGACATTTTCGCATATGGTTTATTTTAAATTATAACTTGCGGTTCGTAAAGAAAATTTGACTCAAAATACCAAGTGTGTGGTATCAAATTATTCGTCAAAAATTGCTTTTTCCAAATATGCTAATAAGCCACCCTCGTTCCCTTTGAAAAAATTGAGATATGATTAAAAATACAATTTGAGCATTTCCTAACTGGCCAGGAGAAGACACTAAAAACATTAGACGATCAAATCTATTTTTCCAAGGCTGCTTGATTAAGTATTAGTGTTTTTAATATAGCCATGGCACTCTAGATTAAATTTTAAAATACGATTTTAATTATGCGAGAATGTCAAAAGTTTACATATGATATGTCATTCTATTCAGAATGTCATTTTCTATCGAATAAAGTAAAAAAATACCGAGGATGCCATTTAAAAATCAAAAGTTGTAGTCATTTCCGGTGAAACAGGAAATGACCAAAAACAATTAAGTCCGTCAATCAATCCTAATTTATGTCATATACTAACATACCAAATCTCGTTTTTTTTTTATCTGAAAAAATAAAAAAGTATAATATAATATGATATTTATGTTATTTATATAAATATCATGATATTTGCCAACCCTGCCCGTACTATTAAACCTTCGTTTTAATTTATTGAATATGGATACTTGAGGTATAAAAAAAAATCAGTCATCAAATTTATTAATTCGTAACTTTGCTGTAGATAGGTGTATCACTTTTTATAATAAACGCCTTCTATTAAAAGAGCAGAAGCCAAAGCCTGTCTTATATTTTCAAAAAAAACTCAATTTTCTCATTAAATATAAATTTTAGCTATTAAGTACGCAATGAAACAAAAATATTAAACAAAACTTCGTTCATTTATGATACAAAATACAGGGTGACTCATTTAAAATAGTGGAGAAAAATACAACATTTAGTATTGACCTAATTGTAGATTGGTGGGCTGAATTTGAAAGAATATTATTATACAGTACTTCCGGCTAAAAAAATTTCAAGTTCTTCGAATTTTCAAAGGGCTTTAAATAAGCAGTAAAATTAGTTTAAAAACGGTTATATTTCAAAAACCACTAGGTATAGTAGTAAAAAATGTACTATTTCATTTAAAAATATACAATTTTAGTTTGAAAATATGTTTGAATCGCTCTGTATCTCGAAATGTGGGTTACCAATACCACATTACGTAAAAAAAAATAAAATGAAAATCACAAACCAAAATCCTAATATAGAGCTTGGTCACAGAAGCCTGGGTCACCCTGTACATTCAACAAAATTATAATTTTGCGGTTGTACAATTAGTAGTATTCCGCTTTAGCGAGATCATTTTAAAGTCAATAACTGCTCGTATATGAATTTAATATGCTCAAATTCGAAAACAATTTGTACATCATAGAAACAGAAAAGAGCACAATTCATAGCGATATTTGGTAAAGCGTTGGAAACGGGTTTAGTCGACCGCAGGTTGTTAATTTCCGTTTAATAATAGATGTATCCAGGAGAGTGCTAATAGCATAATAGCAGAATATTGATGTGGGCTAGACAAGATTCAAAAGCCGCTTGTGGTTCAAAACAAAATTTACAATGGAAATTATAGATGGGCTTTATACAAATACTACCTACGCGTTTAATTATCATGAATAAGCTATTTTAGTCATATTTCTGCAATCATACATAAAACCATGAACATATTTATATATTTATGTCGAGTGTATTAATTCTTAACATTTTGGTATTTTTTATTTTATTATATTGATTGATTACAAATTCACTATAATAATATATTTAACAAAACTGCAGAATAGGTGGGACATCTTAAGTATAATTTATTTATATTTGAGGTTGTGTGTGTGTGTGCCATATTGATTTACGAGTATATTAACCATATATTAACTATTGATTTTGAAAATGTTCCAATAAAAAGAAACGTATTTTATATACTTATAGATTATGCATTAGTTTCTTTTAATTTGAAATTTTATAGTATGCATAATTTTAAGATTGAATCTTTTAATTGTAATTAATATAATTTGAGGAAATTAGGTATTTTTTCTTTCCAAAATGAAATGTTAATCATATCTTCGTAAATTATGAATTCAAATATTACTTCTTAGAAAAGGTTTTTTAGTGTAATTTGGAAGATTTTTAAATAAAACATTACTGGTTTAGCTTTTAAGTTGATGAATTATTGTAAACAGTACCGGGTTATCATTTTAGTTTGACCCACTTTCAAAAGCTTATAACTTTTTTGTTTGTCGGGTTAAAGCAGTCATTCAAAAAACATATTGTAGCAGTTTTAGCCAAGTTTTTGCGAGTGTTGTCAAAAATGAGAGTAAGTGTCACATGTCAGATTTTTGAATAACTAAAAAAAAACTTTTTAAATGGGACACCCTATATATTAATAGCGCATTAGATAGTCGCCTTTTCTCCGAATTCAAAAATGTATCATACATGTGCATTCTTCTTCTTAATTTCATTCAAGATTGACAAAAGAATGTAAAAACAATTAAGTAAATAAAACAATCAAGATAGTTATAAATGGTTTTCTTTCCAAATTATGTTTGTTAGTTTGCCTTATCAATGCAGCACAACACATTAACGAACAATAACTAGCTATAGAATTAAAAACAGTTATAGGTTATTCATTTTCATAATCTATATTGCTCTACATGACCGCCTTTTTCGATGCATTTTCGAAATATTTTCTACAGGCTTTTCATAATATGACGTTTATAATGTTAATGTGTGATACATTTTTGAATTCGGAGAAAAGGGGACTATCTAATGCGCTACTAATATACAGGGTGTCCCATTTTAAAAGTTTTTTTTAGTTTTAAAAATCTGACATGTGACACCTACTGTTATTTTTGACAACACTCGCAAAAACTTGGCTGAAACTGCTACAACATGTTTTTTGAATGACTGCTTTAACCCGACAAACAAAAAAGTTATAAGCTTTTAAAAGTGGGTCAAACTAAAATGATAACATGGTACATTATATGTTACAGTAAAAGTTGGAAATCAGTGATTGTTAACTAGTAAAAGCTCACATTCACTGATTTGCTAAGATTACGCCAGTAAAAGTTCAACATCTATTTTTAAAATCAACTTTTACTAGTGAATGCTAGCATTCCCTGGACAAAAGCAGTGGTTTTGAAAGATTCAGTTTGCGCGGTTGCCACATGTTGTAAAATATAAGGATAAATAAGGATAACTTGAATAATAGGCAATATAAGGATAATATTAAATTGGGTTAAACATTGGCAATGTTGGCAGACATCTGGCGTAAATTCGCATTGTTGTTTTGTGGTTATGTATAATTGTTTTATCATCGTTGTAAAAAGTGTTATGAAAGTGTAAGGAACCTGTGTGTGACTATGAACTTATTAAACGTTTTGATATGCTTAAAGTAGCGGGTTTGAAAAAACGAATAACTCCCGTTGAAGAAAATTCGTGCATATTTTATTTTGTCCACGATGAAGAACTTTATTAAAAAACACCTTATACCAATAAGTAATCTTATGTTTATGAATGTTTTTTTTAATTGTTTTGTACACTTCAAAAAGTTTACTATATTTTCTCTTTTAATATTTTTAAAAGGTTATGTCGTGATTTTCTATAATTTTTAATAAATATACTAAAGAAGTAAATTGTAATTTTGAGATATGTGGATCAGCTTGAGGTGATCCAATATTCTTAAAAGTTTTATTTGTTCTAACTTCCAACAACATTCTTCCTCGTCACTTTGAAAACCTTTAGTAAATGTTACTTTCACTATAGTGAATGTTTTAGGTAAATGTTACTTTCACTATAGTGAAATTACTAGGAAAAGTCGACAAATCTCTTTAAAATACCACATTCACTGGTCCTATGCGTAATATTTAGCATTTCCTAGTGAATGTTAACGATCACTGAATTTCCGACTTTCAGTGTAACATATACATATAAAAATAGAGAGCGATATTATTTTGCATAGTAGATTTCTTATAAAAATTGCATATTGTCATTATTTATAGAAAGTAATTTATCATATCGTCCCATTGCTGCCAAAAGTCACTAACTTACTTTTTATTACTTCCGAGAAAAATGCGTCTAAAGATGAATTGCATTGCATAAAGATGTTATAGTTAGTAACTATTCGGTGTTAAAATAAAACATAAATAGCCAGAAATCGTAGTTAATGACTTTTGCAATCGATTCTCCGCTTCAAAACATAGTCAGTGATTGAATTTGGTTGTTCGGAAAAATGTTAGTTAGTGACTTTTGGCAGCAATGGGACGACATACTGCAAAGATTTTAAATATTTAAATCTAACACAAAATTAAAAAAATCAAATTCTTCCTGTATAATAAATAGTACATATTTTATAACAGTGTTTCTTCCAAAGCTAATTATACTAAACTAATAATGATACTTAGTCACTAATTTTCAATAGTAATTTTTAGCCTGCTTCAGCAAAATAAATCATACTTATACATAGGTCTAGTAAAAAATTGATTACAAAATTAAAGTAATAGTCAATGTTTGCTGTAGATAGGTATGTCACTTTTAATTACAAGTACCTATTAGTAAAAAACGACATACAAATCATGTGTTGTATGTTGTCACAAAAAATATAAAAATATTGGAGTAGCTTTAGGGATATAGAATAAACCAAATAAACTTTAAATGTGCTCAAATTTTGCGTAGGGATTATACAGAACGTTTAAGGTTTAAAAAATAACCAAAATGGAATTGATAATGACTCACCGATATTAACAACACCGTGATTGGTAATTTCCCAGCAGGAGTGCAGTCGCAACACCCCCAAAGATCCACCCTGTTTAGGCGAAAAGTATCCTAGCGCTTGATCGGTCACGTGGTAAGCTTGTAACTGGAATTCGTATAAGGCGGGTAGTAGCTGAGCGACTGCGCCCACAGCCTCATCGGCAACGTTGATGCAGTCGGTAAGCGTGAGGGACACTATGCGGGGATGGAGACACTGCCACAATCCTTGCTCTGTGATCTCGTTGCAGCCGGCAAGTTCCAGTTCATATAAAGCCTATAAGGAATATAATATTAATACTTCTTGAAGTACCGCAATAAATAAAATCAATTGAAAATAAGAAGAAATTTCAAGTATAGTTTTAAACGTAGTTTTTTTTTTAACAAAGAAATGCGAATCATAGATTCGTAAGTTAAGTCACCACTGCAGTATAATTGATGAGCAGACTTACAAAATGCATTTTGTCCAATTTTTGGATTAAATGGTGAAAATGCCTTAGACTTTCTATATGCTGTATGTCCATTGGCGGTAGGCACACAAACCAACAGACGTTTGTCCTTGTGTGCTGTAGACATACTGCTGTTTGTTTATCATTGCCAGATGAAGATTCTTTTTGTGCTACAACTTCTCTATTTTTTTAATAATACTACTTAAAATAATCTTATGCTCATCTGCTTTACTTGTACATGCTATTATAATAACTGCTAAAATAACAGTCCCCATTTCTAACACGTTATTTTCGTATAGCGCGCACTACTTTGAATATCTTTCTGAAGGAATAGATGTATAGAATTATTGCCTCTTATCTCCACTTTACAGACTGCTTTTAATTTAAGGCTAAGAACATAGTAGAGCGACGAGGATAGCGGCTAGCCAACAGTGCGACATCGCGTCCAAATCAAACCTGTGAAGGCAAGTACATGTGAACATAGTAAAGCGATCTGCTCGAGCGGCGAGATCGATTCAAATAATTTTGTTTTCGTCACTATATCGCGCTGTAGGAAACGATGGATTCCCAAAAATTAATAGATTTAGTGTTTGTAAGAGAGATTTTATGGGATCAGAAAGGTAGTAATCACCATAACCGATACATTTTCTATAAGTTATGAGATGAAGTGGCAACAAAATTGCGTAAAGATTGTAGTAACTTGCCATACTTTCTCGGGTTTTTGAAAACTTCATCTAACCAAATGTTTGCGACATTACTGCCCAGAATTTTAGTCACCGTTAACATTTTAAATTATCAATAAGCAAATAATAAATTTGCACAAGTATCTCGCTATTCCTCGTCGCTCTACTATGTTTCAGCACCTCGAGGCTTGCTCAACGCGGTATCGCGCTGCTTACTCGCCGCTCCACTATGTTCTTAGCCTAAGAAAACACATGTTTCACTCAACAATTTTAAATAAATATTTTGTTAGTTTTCTATGTTTTTAATGTATTTCCATCGACAATGGCTCCATCGACAGCCCAACCGTCCGCCAAGAGTGCCACGTGCCAACTGGTTCTTTAAAAGGCGCCGCGCCGGCGTGGCGAGCTTGCGTCATGCGATAATATTAAGCGACGTTGCCTTAGTTACAACAATTTTAAATTCAAGATATTCCAGGCAATCATATTCGTATTAAATTTAAAAAATAAAAGAGAGAAACATCAACGGAAACAAACAAAATGGTCGAATCGAAAGCAATCAAAACACGCTTGTCGAGACAGTTGACTAACTTAGAGGATATGCGTATGGCATAATTGTTATTAGTGTTTTATTTTGCTCTGTAATCAATAGCTATCTAAAAATATTAGATTAAATTGTGTAAATATCAATCAAAATTTGAATTAAAATTAGTGAATTTATTAACAAATTTTAGATAAATGTGTAGGTACATAATTTTAGTAAACCTCAAAAGTAATGTTTTGAGGTACCGAAAAAAAAACGGCGTCAGCGATGGCTATGAAATGACGATCGACGACATTTCCCATATAATTTTACATATAAAATGACAGCGATGTTCATTTCATAGCCATCGTTGACGCCGTTTTTATTCGATCATGTGGTATAATTAGTGGAAAAGTTAAAAGTTTGTTATTTTTTTCTACTAATTGAAAATTACTACCACTAATTTTAACGTTCTGAATGCCTATATTGAAAGTTGAAAGTAGAGGAACAAACTTTTACGTTAATTGAAACCAATAATTTATTCCAGTAATTACGTGGTTCCGAATGAAGCTTAAAATCTAAAACAATCTTTTAACTTTTTTTATTAAATGAAAATTATTACCACAAATTTTGACGTTCTGAATACTTACGTTGAAATTAGGGGAACAAACTTCTATGCTAATTGTTACCACTAATTTATTCCACTAATTTTTAGGTTACGAATAAAGCTTTAATCAATATACAAACTATTTGTTTTTTAAAGGCACAAAATGATTGTGTTTGCTCATTTGTGGTACATATATAACAGAACATATTTCTTTTGTTATACCGACTACTGCATATTGTCGCATTCTTTTTATCTATCGAACCAAAGCAATTTATTTTTCTCGTATATTTCTCTCGAAAATCTTGGACGAAACTCAAGGACTTGTCTCCTTTAAATTTTTATTTTCTTTTATATTTCACATACGACACTAAGGTTGTAATTATTTATTCACTTATTTTTCGATTTTAATACAAAGTTGAGTGATGATTTCCAAAATTATTATTAGCTGTACTTCAAAATTTAAATACCTAACTATATCTATTTGTTCATTAAAATATACATTTTCAAACAATTCTTTTTTCGACATTAATCTCCTTTTTAAAATAAATTGTGTGAACATTTTCAAGCTGAATTTTTTTGATGGTATAACTCAAATATACTTGAAATATCCATCTATCACAGCATTTTTGGATGTATGCCAAAGTTCGTTTGGACTGAAAATCGACATTTTGTCTGCAACACTGATAAATAGCCCGATAAAAAATTAAAAATCTTCTTCATTTTTAAAATGAAATTAAACAATTAAAATTCAATATAACTAAAATTTATGATTAAGGTGAGCAATATACAGAAATTTGCACTACATAATCTGGTCAATATTTAACCACACTATTATTGCCAATTATGACTTTATTTAATATCTATTTACATATAATAAAACAAATACATACTCAAAAATTCTAAAAACAAATTAATTACACTTAACTTTTTTGCAGAATTAATATCTACATTTTATCTTTTAAATATATTGGGTATTTTGCCACTCAAAGATTAACTAAAAAATAAAAAAAGTTATTTTTTGTAGAACGCCAATGAGTAATCTACACAAAAGCCAGTTTCTCAGTAATTGTTTACTTATAAACAAATTTAACTAACAAAAAAACACAACATTTTTGAGAAGTGCATATCCCTTCTCGTCAGTAACAAAACAATAAAATAATAATTATTAAAAATGGATTTTTGTAATCAATAAAAATGTAAACAATAATTATCATATTTATTTAAAAAAATACATTGGTTTTTAATTAATCGTGTTACGCTAAGAATTATAAAACATTAAATACTTTATTGCAAAAAATCCAAAATTAAAAAGCGAACCTTGCAAGTAAAAAATAAATACTCACTTTTTTCATTTAAATATTTCATTCATATAATTTGCTATATCAAACTATTCTAAAAGATCTCTTTATATCTCAAAAAGGCCATCATAAAAGCTAACAATGCTTATTAAAATCTGTAGGGGTCCTTTAAGCAATTGAGCATTAAAATTGAAAACACGTGGAGCTCATTACTGCAATGACTTTTATTTTTGCCAATGAAGCGGTTAAGTTTTCTTGTTGTTTTCTTTCTTTGTTCGCCTTTTGACGTTCAATTTTGGTTTTCAAAATCGGTAAAATGGCTTGTAAACAAGTATAGAAGGAGTTTAAAATTGTAAATGACATTATTTCAGCATATAGACCAAAATGTTTATAGTAAAATATTAAACAGATTAACTACTGATTCTTTTAACGTGGTAAATATTGACTCAGTATTGATACTAAAAGAATCTCGGACTTCCATTCTCTTCATTTATTTTAACTTACACAACGTTTGAGTCAGATGTATGACTGACCGTTATCGAGTGTAAACTATTTACATTGAATAACGGCCAGCGTTACATCTGGCCGAAACTTTGCGCAAGTTAAAATAAAGGCAATGCAAATCGAAATTCTTTTAGCATCAACATTAACTATGGTATGGTGTATTCTGATAAGTTATTACAATTTATATGTGAACCTAAATAAGGATTTGGAGAAATTTAAAATGTGGTGTTTCAACATTTCACTCACGGTAAATGAATCTAAACCAGAATTTATAAGATTTAACATAAATATAACTATAAAAGAGCAAAAAATAAAAAATCTGAAGTTGATTATAGCGGAATTAAAATTCATAATAATTTAAAATGGGGCACGCCTATAATTAGTACAATAATAAATAGTACCGTATTATCGAATAAAAACGGCGTCCAGTTGGCTAGGAAATGACGAACGATGACATTTCCCATATAAATTTACAAATAAAATGACAGCGATCTTCATCTCATAGCAATCGCTGACGCCGTTTTTATTCGATCATACGGTATAATTGCCAAATTCCTAAAACTTAAAAACATAATACCATCAAAAATGAAGAAACCAACAAATCATGCATTATTTTCTTCATATTGTTACGGACCCGTACCGTTTGAACTCGGCCTTAGGCCTGGCCACTCGCCTATGACTCATACGCCCACCGACGTTTGAAGAACGCCGCTAAGAATTTTCGAGATAAGTCTGGATTGTATGTTTCTCTCATATATAAGCCGATGCCCGAAACCTGAAGAAGATAGAGAGAAAATAACCGATCGACGCGCACAGTTACAATCGCCGCGCTAATTCAAAATAAATTGCTGTTAGATAAATTGTAAATAAGTTATAAATAGTTCTTTAAGTTTTCTTTTAATCGTTATTGTTTGTTAATTAGTGTTAAATAAATTGTGTTTAAATAAATTGTGACTTTCTATCCACACGGAACCGACGAAAAACGTAACAATATATTTAATAATATGTGGTGTAATACAACAGAAAAAAACTTAAACATGCTACAAAGAAAACAAAATAAATTACTAAAAATAATATTTAATCTAGATAAACTAACACCAACAGAATAAGTATATTAAAAAACAGAGGCATTAAACATAAAACAATTAATAAAGTATCATAATAATATATTAGTTCCACAGAAAATCAAAAATAAGTTAATAGTCCTGTAACGAAC